TTATAAGCTATAGGCTATATATTATAATAGTATACTACTAACTATTATAGTTAGAGGTTATACGTTCGGTTCCCGTTATAGGCGTTAGTTAGTAGCTTATACTTTTCTTTAAAAATATAGCTATAGTTTTTTTTCTATTTTTCCTAAAATTGTATTAGTCTAGAACCGGACTAATATTACGCTAATTAATATTATAGAATTGACTAATTCATTAAATCTGGATATATAATTTAACTATTTAAATTAATTTAATAGTAACGCTAATTACTAGTTATTGATACTATATTATTCTAATAAGCTTTAACTAGAAATATAAAGTAGATACTTACTTATAACCTTATAGTTTAATATACTAAGGTCCTTAAAAATATAATACTCTAATTATTTAAGTCTACCTTTAGTACTTTATTACTTATAAGAGTCTTATTATAAATAGTCTTTTAGATATACTATATATTAAGTAAAGACTATAAATATACTTTATTAATACTCTTAGACTTAGTATTTATCTAATAACTTATTTATATAATAATATAAACCCAGAATATACTAATAACAGTTTTAAATTTCCCTTATTTTTATACTTCTATTTATATACTTTTACTTCTATTTATAAATCAATATATTATTAGTAATACTTATATAGTATATTTATACTTATATATATATATATAATACTTACTAGTCTTCCTTTAAGTCAAATATAATTACCTTTATTATATTTCTCTGCTTATTTAATCTAACTAAGCCTTACTAAAAAGGTTTTCAGTATCTTCCTACCTCTTATCTCTCCGTATAATTCTGTATATAACACTAAAGATATACGAGGTAAACGATAAGACCTTAAACCTCTTCGCGAGGAGATCTACCGCCGTTACGAAGAGGGCTTTTCCGATAACTTTATTTACGACTATATACGATAGTAAATAGGAATAACGATTAGCTATACCTTACTATAGCGCCGGTATAAGGCCTAAGGCCTCTCGCACTAAATATGTATAGTTATATTAACGGATCTTATTCGACGTATATATAAGCTTTTTTACGATAACCTCGACGATATAAAACTACTATAATAGCTATAGACCGAGGGCTTTCGAATTTTAAAGTTCGGACTTAAAGGTATCCGGAAAAGTAATAAGTTATAGTAATAGCAGAATATGCCACGGATTAAGGAGGTAAAAGTAAAAGCTAAAGAGTTCTTTAAGGGTAATAATCCTAATATATCTTTTACACGGGGGCTTAGTACTATATATCTCTATATATTTATATGGTAGAAAGGCTTTATAATTAGCCGCGATACTCTTTACCGTATCTTCTTAGAACTATTTCCAGAAAAGGTTACGGCGCGTATAAAGGAGATGCAGTACCGTAGAAAGGGCTAGATAACGCCCGGGCCGAATTTTATTTAGTCTATTAACGCGTACGATAAGCTACTTCCCTTCGGCTTCGAGATCTACGCCGGTATTAACACCTACGCCCGATTTATAACTTAGTTCTACGTTAGAGTATTGGCGTATACTACTAGGAATATCCTTACGTAGTATATCCACGTTATACGTTAGACTGGATTTCTCCCGCGGTTTATTCGGTTAGATCGGGGTAAAAAGATAACACTCTTAGCCAGCGTATACTAGTATATATCTATATAGTCGCGTATAAAGAAGAATACAGCCCGTGAGGATATTCCGATTAAGTTTAAAGACTACTAAATATTTAGGAAGAGTATCTATAATTAACGTATCGAGGCATAGTAGAATAGACTCTATTAATCCCGTTTGGTATATTAAAGGGTAAGTAAATATTATATTCTACTACTTTATTAGTATTATATTCCTTTACTAATATATATCTAGGAGTATTTTATTCACCTCTCTGAAAACGGCCTTTTCGATAACCGTTTAATTACTAACCGTATTACGCTACTTTACGTGTATATACTACTTATACGTACTGACTTTACACGATTTATACGGGTCTATAATAGCCACCGTATCCGCGTATAGTGTTCTCGGCCGTATATTATTACTAATAAGCCTTAGGTGCTTTACTACTAGGCTAAATAGGACTTCCGGGTATAGCCGGATTCTATACAGCTTCGTATACTAGGAAACGCCTTTATAGAAGATCTTTAATAGCTTAATACATATCTGCCTACGGATATTATAGCAGTATACTTAATGCTTAAGTCTACCGCGGGTAACCTTTAAGAGATACTAACTATAAACGGTAAAGAGTATCCTATGCTTTCTTTATATAGTTATATACGTAATAGTCTAAATATATATATAGCCGCGAAGACTAAACCCGAGCTTTTATTACTACCCACGCCTTATAGTAGTATCACGGCTATAAAGGACCTACTCGAAAAGGAGGGCTTAGATATAGAATAGGCTATAACAGGAACTAATAAGACTAATTTAGTCTTTTCAGATATAGAAAGCGAGGGTAGTAATTAATTCTAATCTAAGGCTCCTTCTAATCTAAGGCTTTATATCGGAAGTTATTAAAAATATACGCTTCCGGCCGCGAAGATTTATCGTTAAACCTAGCACCTTACTTTTACCCGCCTCCTTCTATTCCTCCGTGCCGTAATCCTCTTTTTCTGTATAAGCCTACGCATTAGTATCTGGTGCTATCTCGGTCTTTACTACTAACGGCTTAGTCTTTACTACCTACGGCTCGGTATACGTTACCGGCTTAGTCTTAACCGTTACCTTTATAGCTTATTTCCCTTTCCCCTTTCTGGTCTACTTCTTCGCACGGGTCTCCTTTCCGACTTCCTTCTTTATAGCGATCGGCACCTCCTTATCGTTATTATTTCACGTTATATCGTTACGTTTACTCGAGGTTAGCTTTAACGGGTCGGGAACCTTAGTCTTTCGGAGGAAGGTAAGATAGTAATCCTTTATTAGACTAAGACCCGATTCGCGCAAAAACGCACGGAGCGTTATAGTATTATACGCCTTATTTCGAAAGAAGATAACGGTTTTCGGATTCTTCTAATCGTATAGAAAGACTGTAAAGTCCTAGTTAAATTAGTATTTATCGGATATAAACTAGCTTATAAGGTAGCGTATAATGTCTTAGTAGTTCGGAAAAGTCTAGTCTAATATAATTAAAACGCGGCCGGTAATTTTTTATCCTCTAATCTTTATAAACTTTAAGATATCCACGCCGTCGATATCTTAAACGTAGTACTCGCCGCTATATAGGCTAATACTAATCTCTTTTATAGCCTACGGCTACTTTTCTTTCCGTGTTAATTAGATACTAGCCCTACGCTACGCCTCGCCGGTTCGAAACGTAGTTATAAGCGCTCTGCCCTATACCTACGCCTACACGATAGTGCCGGGTATATAAAGCGCCTTCGGTTCTGTATCTTCGCGCTTTAAGCGGGGAGGAGTATCTACGGTTAAGTCGATAACCGTGTTATCGTCGTTAATAGGAGGTATTAATTTATTCTTAATAAATATAGTTTTAAACCGGCCTATACCGTATTTAGCGTATACTAACTAATCGGGATTAGTATTGAAAAGAATAGTATAATAGACCTTAACATTAGGGTAAATAAGTATAGTTAGGGGCGTTATTATATAGACTATTATATAACCGTTAGCATAGATACGTCTTCTAAATAAGCCCTACGATAGTTATACGGATATATATAGGGCTATATAGATAGAGTTTTTATATATATACCCTATAACCCTGCTTAATTATATCTGCATACGCCTATATATAAATCTTACTACTAAGTAGGAGACTTCTACGGTCGGGGTAAACCTATTAATCGATTATTACTATTTTTAGAAGTTACAACAGACCGTCCTGCCGCTTGCCGTAACGAGCCCTGGAATAGGTCTAGTCTTCGATCCACTCGGCCACAAGCGGGGACCTTCTCGAATCATCAGGAGGCAAGTTGAGAGTCCAGAACGGGAACACGTCTACCCGTGCCACGCCCCACTTATATTAGTTCGTTAAAACTCACCAGCCTATAAGCTAGTACTCGACAGTTATATGTTCAAGACAGTTATATAACTATTTTCTACCGATTTTAAAGCTATTTATAACTATCGCGATAACGTAACCTAATAACCCATCCCCCACGTGGTATATAGCTTACCTAGTCGCTTAGCCTTCCTCTAAGCCCTAGCCATCTTTACAGCGTCCTCCCCTACCTTCTTATACGCTCTTTACTTCTTTAAACGCGTAGTGTCCACGATACGCTCTACCTTTATAACCTTATCCTTAACGCGTTATTTAGCTATTCTACGCGCCTCGTTCACGGTTAAAACGCCTCCGTGCTATAGCTAGAGGTTCCTAGTAGCACGGCGTTAGTAGGTAATAGCCTCGGCTAGCTTTATACGCGCGAGGTCCCTCTTCACTTGGATCAGTTCGGACGCTAAAGACAACGACCCCTTAATAAAGGTTGTCACTTTACGTTACGTGGCAAGATCTAATTCCGCCTTATCACGTAAACTACGCCTAATTCTACGGGCAGAACGATACATCTAATAAAGAGTTACTAGCGTTACCGGGTTTAAGGACCTATCAGAAGGGGTAAGAGGCGGGGTAAGTGTCCGAAGTCTACGCTCTTCTAACTACTATAGAATAACCTAAGGATTAAATAGATAAATCCCTGTTTTTCTAAAGGCCGAAAGGATCGTTAATTACTTAAACGCCTACTTACGTACGCCCTTAAGCAATAAGAGGAATTCGAGCTTCGTGATATTAACGACTCCATCGCGAACTAACTAGTTAAGGGCTTTAGCGTGGTAGTGCTTTAAAGGCTAGAAAACAATAACGTTAAGCGGTTAAAGTATATAGGTTAGGTAAGGAGGTAATCTAAAAGGGATAATATCGTGATCGTTATAATATTATATAAATTCCTTTATATAGTGGGAGCCGTGCCTATCTAGGATTAACAGCCGCTTCGCGCTAATAGATAACTTATAGGAGTGCTTATCGAAGTGCTATAGCTAACGCAGGCTAATCTATTATTCAGTTAGCGGGATACTTTATAGCAAAATAAGGTAGGGCAGACCTAATCGTTAGAATATCCAGTTAGCGATACGGCTATTATTATTTCGCCGGCCATCTCTTCCAGTTTATACTATTACCGTATATAGATTTTACCACTTAAAATCAGGAAAACGGGGATAATAACGCCACCTGCCGAAATAGCTTTAATCGCTATTACAGACTCCCTATTCTAGGGGGTCCCAAAATAATAGGATCTATTCCGTTTAGTGACTATAACCTAATCTTTACCTATCCCGATCTAAAAGCCGGTCTCGTCTATATTCTAGATAGATTCCGGTAGGATTCCGTTTTCCTGTATAACCTCCCGTAATTAGTTAAAGTACTAAAGAACCCGTTCGGAATCCTCGGCAGTCTAACGGTTCGTATCTATCTTCTTTTACTTCTTCTTAAAGTAACCGTGCCGTTAGATAAACCGCGTAACCTATCGTTAACTAACGGTAGGGGCGGGGCAGCCTTTTTTAGTATCGAGACGCGCCTCTAGAATCGTATCTATAGTATTAGTAATAAACTTAGGTCGAATCGTAAGGTTAATACTATTAAGGCGGTCGATATAACGGCATAGGGCTTTTTCTTCGGGCTCTAAAAGCTTCGAATTCGCTGACTTTTAACCTAGTCGAGGAGGGTAGCCGCGAAGGCGATTCCGGAGCGTGTATCGCGGGATTCTAAATTAACGCGCCACTATTAACATTATAGCCTCGGGGTTTTCGTTAATATAATTAATAGCCTTAGCGACGTGAGATTCTATCTTTAAAAGGATTAAAATAGGGTGTTATTATCGATAAAAACACGGTTATTATAAATAGCTTTAAAAAAGTAGTCACATAACTATCTTAAACACACAACTGTCGAGCACCAGCTTATAGGCTAGTGAGTTTCAACGAACTAATATAAGTGGGGCGTGGCACGGGTAGTGTGAAGAAAGGCAGGTAAGTGCATTGACTGCATGTGTTGACTGTTCACTGCCCATCCAGGACGGCGATGTCTGGTTTGTATGAAGACTGATGGTCTTTGGTCATGGCCGCATCCTCGACTGGATGCTCGACCAGACAACGCCAACGCCAATGCCAACCCCCCGTTTCCTTTGACCGGTGACGGGGGGTATAGCGGGAATGTGCGTATTAATAATATGAGGCGGGAAATGCGGGGAGGCATGCAAGACGGGATTGTTGCTGGCACACATCGAGGTTGCATCCGAAAACCTTTACCTGATGCCGGCACGGAGGACGAGATAGAATAGACAAGCAAAGATCAATCAAGATCTTTCCAGGCTGCATCGGCTACATAAGGAAGGTCATTTGAGAGATCAATGAGTTTGATGAGTTGGAAGAATTATAAACGTCTGCTCTGCACTCTACAACATGCGGCCATGCCCCCATAGTAGGTGAGACCGTGAGATTTGATAAACACATCGTTGAAGATTCAGGACCTTTCGGACAGCGGACCCAGTGCCGCAGCTAAGGTAATTATTCGTCGCTAGCATCTCTGTAGCCTCGTAGACCTCCTGTAGCGCCACTTTGTAATAATTACTTTGTGGAATCGCTTCGGTCTATTGAGACCTGGCGTGGCGTCTTGTCAGAACAACAGAGACAAGTCACAAACTACGGTTCCATGCCAGGATTCGTGGAATATTCGAAGAGACGGAATAACTGATGGAGAGCCAGACGGTTCAGATGGCCCTACCCCGGCCTTTAGCATGCGTTTATATACCCCTACGCGGGTACTATTGAGCACTTTTCTTACGTATAACGTACGCTCGCTCGCGTTCACTTGCTGGCTTTTATAGGCGGGGAGGACGGCGTGGGGGCCAGAAGCTCATGGACAGGTGGTCGTCAGTATTACAGGGAGGTGGCATTATTCTAATAACAACCTGTCTCTCTCATCCGTCTTCGACTTCATCTACCTCTACCTCTACCGTCTGCTTTGGGTCAAGCCAAGCCAATTTGTTTACCTTCCGGGGTCATGAATTCCAGACATGAATGCAACGGCATATGTATAACATTGAAGATAAAAGGAAGAGGGGGGAAAAATGCGTCCAGTGATGGCTTCTTCTCGGCCAACGACCCACGACTCGTCCAACCAGGTTTCCGTAGAGTCCGTATTAGTGGAATTAATGCCTATCTTCCCCATAGGCCAGCACACTGCCCAGCCACCAAGCACGCCCTAACCCCTGTCCGTCCACCACATCCCCATCCCCATCCTTATCCCCATCCTTATCCTTCGACCCCTCCCCCTCCTTGTCCAACAAACCTAGTCACCTGTTCACTTCTCCTGTCCCGGACGCCGGACGTCAAGCTCTCACCATCTCCACCATCTTGTTCTCGTATACGTGTGCACGATTCACAGTGCACACATGACAGGCGGCGTCGTCGAGGACATGCAAGCAGCTCGATCCTCTTCCCTCGCGCATTCGTCCTGACTTTTTCGAGCGACGACGGTCAATCAGTATCGCCATCTTCGCCCTTCACCTCTATGCTCTTCCTCTCCTCCGCCCATTGAAATCAGACACCATGATCTCGCCGACACCACCCCGTCTGCTCAGGGCCCTCCTGACCGTCATCGCCCTGCAATCGACCTCCGTCGCCTCCATCTGGATCTCCGTCGACGCCGACGGCACCGCACACACCATCACCCCGACCACCGACGTCGTAGGCGGCGCCACCACCACCATCGATGCCGTTCCGTATTCCCTGACCGGCCGCGTCTTCACAATCACCCAGACCGATGGCGCCGTCACCACCAGCTCCGGCAACCCCCCTCCGCCCCGTGCGACCGACTCGGACGGCGGTCGCGGTTACTTTATCCCCTGCCGATGGAACGCCAACTCGGCCATCTCCCCGTTCTGCAACCCGCGCGACAGGTCCGAGCTGTATGCTGAAGAGCCCTATTACAGTAAGATTTCTTTTTCCTTTTTTTTTTCTTCCTTTTTTTCTTCTTTTTGGGGGTTTCTTTTCAACCGCGAGATTATGTTTCTCTTGTAGTAAAAAGTAGTATATATATAAAAGGAAGAGAGAGAGAGAAAGAAACCCCAGAAAGAAAAAGAACATTTCACTAACCCATCGCCCTCAGTCACCTGGGACGACCACGGCGTCCCCGAAGGAAGCGGTCGCCTCGTAGGCTACCTCGTCAGCTCGATCGGCGCACGACGGTCGAACACCCCCCTCTTCACCTTCGACGTCGCCCTCCGCGACGGCCACCACGCCTGGACCCCCACCGAATCCGACCTGAACGGCAGCGACGTCTTCAGCTTCATCGAGCTCGTCCTCAGCTACGAGGGCTACAACCGCACCGGCCCCGTCGTCAGAGTCCTGCCCCCGCGCGACGAGATCCCCGAGGAGAGCAACGACGGGGGAAGCGGCGGTGGCGGTGGTGGTGGCGGCGGGCCGAACGTCCTGGCGATCGTTTTGCCCATCGTCTTTGTCGTGTTGGCCATCTTTGGTGCCGCGTTTGCCTTCTTCGTTATCCGCAGGCGGAGACGCAATGCTGCGGGTACTGGCCCGGCGGCCAAGCGCGTGAGCAACGCTCTGGGGGCATCTGGTCCCGGGGTGGCGGGGAAGAATGATGTTGATATTGAGTTGTCGCCTACGAGTCCGCCTGGTCGGAATGTGTTCCAGGAGGAGGTTGCGAGGCAGCAGAGGGAGAGGCAGTGAGGACTGGAGTCTTTGGTCTTGAGAGGGGACGGACAGCTGTGGCCGCATGAGGAGGAACCTTTTTTTATTTCTTTTTATTTTTATGTCATGGGATGATGGGTCTTAATGACATGACTGGAGCAACACAACTACCACTGATGGAAGGATAGAACTGGTTTGGTATTTACAATGTGCTTGGTAAATCGCAATCATGCCCGTTCTTCTGAGTGCATGTGCTAGCTGCAAGCGATTACGGATATCCACTACAACAAGACAAGCCCAAGCTTTACTCACGAAACCCGAAAGACTGTTTACTCCTCAGAGAAGTGGTTCTGTGATGCAAGAGAGTATCTATATTCTCTGGCCGCAGTGCTGATTGCGGATCAATATCCAGCACTCCAAACTCCAAGCCAACATGATATGGCGCCCCTGAATAACAAAACAAAGGCATCTCAACTCCTCGATGTGCATATTCGCAGTATCAAATGAAACCAAATAAAAACAAACGCCAATTCCCCGTGTCCCAACTTGTGCCGTCCATATACCAGAACGATCACTTCAAGGCACACTTGAAGTGGCAGTAGGTGTCACGGTACTGTTACGAGTTAGCTTCTCTCTTTGTCAAAAGAAAACATGAACCTAATCAAAACGAAGGAACCGGAGGAAACTGGAACTCGATAACTTACCCAAGTTGGTCCACCCTCAAGACCTTCCCAACTACCACCCCGGCACTTGGGGAACCGCGCCGCCGACCGAGAAGTCGCATCCTTCTTATACTCATACCGAGCGCCGCTACCAAACTTCGCATTGATATGGAAGTAATCATAGTCCGGCCGCATGTCGTCATGGCGCTTGTACCGGTGATGCTTGTCCTCGGTGAACCAGACCTCGACCCTCTCTTTGATGCCGATAGCATCGGCATCAAACCGGATCCTCGGCCCCTCCTTACCCAGTTCGTACTCCATCTCGGAGAACTGGTGGAGCGGCGTCCCTCCCCGCTCCTGGGGCGAATAGAAGGTCGCGGAGAACTGGAGAAAGTCGTACTCATCCTCCTTGTCAACCGCGAAGGGAAACACGCGCACGTGGAGCATGCAGATGTCCTTGAGCCGGGCGCTGCGGTGACGGTAGCTCCACGTACGGCGCATCTGCCGGATCTCTTGCCCGTCCCAGTGTGCCACGAAGTGCCGCCGAACCGAGGACCCGGAGCTGGAACTGCCACCGCCCGAGTGAGGAACAGCCGGCGCAAACTGCCACGCGAAGACGTTGGTCCACGGGTGGACTGTAGTGTCCTCGGGGTCGTACGGCGTGTAGTTGGGCGAATGCAGCTTCAACTCACCCGGTTCGAGGCGCAGGATGCGGGTGATGTCAGCGAACAGCTTCTCCATCTGCGGCTTGTTCTTGAGCTCCTGGCTATCGGGACCCAGGGAGACGCGGCGGGGGGAGAAGATGCGGAACTGGCGCCACTCCGTGCTCTGTTTGTCGAGGATCATGCCGGGCTTGACCAGGTCCGCGATGCCAATCGAGTCGCGCGCTCCGGGTGGTCGGCGTCGTCGTGCTTCAGGACGCGGGCGAAGAACCGGTGGACGTTCTCTTCGTAGGCTGCCTGCTGAGCCTCCGTGTCGATGGTGCGTGGGCCGTACTCGCCGACCTGGCCGAACTTGTAGCTCCAGTGGATGAAGGTGGGGTGCTCCCAGATGTGAGCCGTCATGACGCCCAGGTTGCTTGCGGCGACGAAGATGGTGCAGCCGCCTACCTGCTCAGCACCGCCGGCACGGATGGGAGGCCGTTCCACGGGGAAACCAGTGGCATCGTCGTCTAGGTAGATGACGCGGCCGGATGAGAGGCCGTTTGACTCGAAGTGAACTCCAGTAACATGGATGATTTGGTTCATCCGAGTCCAGTAGTCCTTTTCATCATAGTCTCCGGTGGCCATCCAGTCCTTGGGCTTGATGATCCTGTCCTCGGGAAGTAGGTAAATGTGGGGGACTTCGACCGGCGCATCATGAGGGATCTGGCGAGGAGAAACCGCTGCAGGGGACTGAGGCCAACGAAAGATCGAATCACCGAGACGGTCGAAAAGGCTTCTCTTGGCGTGAGTAATATCGGCCATGTCGACGTCCGCGCCGTTGTTGGATCCTCCGCATTCATCACAGAAGTATCCGCAGGAAGGAGGGCAGCAGATGGGAAGGGACAGCTCAAAGTCATCTAGTTGTGTGATACATCCTGTTAGCTATGTCTGTCTATATTATATGTCTCTATCCACCTGAGTCTTCGTGAGACCAGGATGGAGGCGTTTCTGACGTGACATACCGGGAGGAGGGAAAATGGATTTGGCCAGCACATGCGTGGCCAGAAACAGCAGCGCCAGGAAGATGTGAGCCCATCCCGGGCGGCAAGACACAAGCATGATGGCTTGCAAAACTGCAAATACTTCTAATAATCGTGATAGAACACTTAGTAACTTAGTTGCTGAAGGTGGTGTAAGATCTTGGAGTTTTGTTCTCTTACCACTGACAAGTCTCTGTGAAAATGCAGAATAATACCGATGGTGGTTAGAGAGCTAGAGCACGATGGGTGGATTATGATATGATGCTTGGGAAGAGGTTTACAATGGGCAGAGCTCGTGTTGAGGCTAGAAATATTTATAGGCAACTGCCTGTTATAGTGATTCGGATCTCAACGCGCGCGATCAACATAGAAGGAGCAGATTCACTTACAATATTTGTATGCGTGTGCCTATTGAGAAAGTGGCAAGGCAGTTGCCTGAATAGTGAACATATTGATTTACCTAAAGAGTAGGAGCCGAGTGCCGAATGAACTCACCTCCTTCCTTAGAATAGTGAATATATTGATTTACTAAGAGAGTAGGAGCTAAGTGCCTAATAGACTAACCTCCTTCCTTAGGGGAGGCTATAGGAGTAAGGTGGTTATAAATCACTAATATAGATATTAAGTATATAGTAGGTAAGGAGGAATTACTATAGATATTATATAATAATATTTATTATTAACTCTAGGTATAGGATATAAAGCAGCTTATAGCGAAGAAGGAAAGAGAAACGATATTAAAGAGGAAAGCGTAAAGCGTCCTGTTATATTAATAACTAAGCCTTTTATTTTTAAGCTAAGCTGTTTCTCCTTTTAACTAAACTTCTTCTAAGTATATCCATAACATTCATGTTTGCTCTTTGCTTTATTCTATTGGCAGCGTTGATTACCATGGACTCCTGCTTATACTGATAGGACTTGCTGCAAAGTTAATAAACTCCTTATATTAGCTTTATATATAATAGTAGACAAACATAAACAAGCTGATACAAACAGGAGGCATCATAACAGTGATAGAGATGATTTCACAAAAGGAAAGGATATATCTACCCTGCACCTTTATGTATTAGCATAACCCTTTTAGTAAGGTTAGAGCTCTACTCAAGCACCTAGGCAACCCAGAGCAGAGTACAAACTCTTAAAAAACTGAACTGATCTGCTTCTAAGCACTAAAGTGTAAACAAGGTCAGCTTTTATGCTTATTTTGTATAAGTCTTATACTTCAGCTTAGGCAATGTTGAAGGTTAAAGGAATCTTGTACCTCTCTTCCCCTTGTTTACAAGCTCTGCATCTAACTGGCATGCTGCTGCTCTTTTACATCTAAACGTGATCAAAGTGGTGATGATTTGAAAGTATGACTGTACTCGGCTGGTTTCCAGGACAGCCCCCTTGCCACGTGGTGACGTGGACGGAGCACATCAAACCCGATCTTCGTTGTCTGAAGCAGTATGCGACACAACTTTAAGATGTGAAGTATAAGATAGGATATTGATAGTACAACTATCTTGTTTGGGGCAGGATGCTTGAAAACGCCAAGTCGGCTGGCAAAACCAGAGAGAGATACGTATAGACTTCCTACTGCCACACAACATGTCGCCAATTGGTAGCAGCAATGATCGAGGAATATCAGCCTATGCATTTTACATCCACAACCTGAGCCCATAGACACCTGGGAAGCCTCGCAACTGTCAAACAAGTGAACAGAAGAGAAGAGAAAAGACGCATATTCAACCGCATACCCCAATTCCTTGTCAAACCTCTTCATTCATTCGATCTTGCTGGCCATTGTCGGCCCACTCTCTTCGCACCTCTAGCTTTATGCATGGCAACCAAAGGGACTGGTCTGAGTGTGTTGAAGACGAAAGGCTCCCTTCGATGCCAACCAATCAACGTAATGCAAGCCAAACAGGAGGCCCTCGAAACTTGAGAGCTCTCAGATCTCAGAGTTTACTGTAAGTACTTGAGCATTGTGTATGTCCATTGTCACATGGACTGCATCGTGACATGAGGCCAAGTTGCGCCCAGGCTCACTATTATTTGGGATGTTGGCTTTTCTCGTTTTGGACACAGAACAGGCCCAAGAGGATGACTTCGACATAGTGTGGACTTGGCGTAATTCTCTGTATCTAGTCATTTTATATTTGCCTACGTGATGCCCATAGTTGCTCCCCCGAGGCCTCTTTAGCTCCCGTCTTTCCAAGTAGTGGAGGTTATCTCGTGATATGTATTTGATGCCTCTGTCGGAGCACTTGTCGAGTCTCGGCTTTTATGAGCCATTAAGCCATTTGTTCATTGGTCCCATCAAATTGTGCTGTGTCATGGAATGTGCAACATCATCTGAGCTTATGCTCGTGTTACGTGATGCAAGCCCCGTAAGAGCGACCTACTGATAATCAAAAACGTACAACGTAGACGGCGAGGATGGCATTTCTCCTTCGTACGTCAATGGTAAGTTGTGACCGAGTATGGCCCGCATGGGGCAGACTCTCAACCTGTTAGCTGGACGCTAAACGAAAAATAATATACCAAGCGACTCGCCGACGAAAAAGATTACCAAGGTAGTCGGCAATTTGCCTGCCGGCAGCTCTGTCACGTCGGCTTGCCTTCGTCTGAGACTCGTCGTCAAAACTCGAGACGCGGCAGCGATAAAGAGCTCGTCGCGAAGCAAAAAGACTAGGGTTTGCTTGGCCCGGACTCAAGTCCGCACGAGGAGACGTCATCGTGCATTAGCTGCCAAGAGGTCACTCACTAGTAAAACTTCCCGAGAAATACTTTTGCATAACATCCCTCTGATTCGTCGGGGCAACCGAGGTGACGGTAAGAGTTCACGATGCAATGTCGGTAGATACGTTACAGTGGCTGTTAAGTGGCTGTGACTTATGAAAAGAGAGGCTAAGACGCTAGTCCTAATTTGAGAAAGTGCAAAATTTAGTTTCTTACAAAGTTAGGTACGAAGCTACAATCTTGGACCAAGAGCGGCGACCCCGACAGGCGGAGATGACCCGTCAATGTACATGTACTTCATACTTGCACTTGGCAAGGAATTGTTTTGTTGGATTTGTGATTCTTTTGTGGGTCGTTGTTTCGAGTGATGCATCATCGTCCCCACTACCTGGGGTAGGTATCTTTCTTATTAGTCTTATGAGTAACCTCGTAGGTACCTCTGTACCTCTTTTCCCTGTTCCTGTTTCTTCTCCGCTTTCGCTCTTTTTTTTTTTTCGTTCTTTTTTTCTCCTTCCATTGCCAAGACCACCCGAGTCGCATACCAAGCAGACCGTTCGTCTCACGAATCGACCCTTGGCAATCTTTTATCGCCTTATTTCGCACGGCGGGACGGCGTCGGGGTGGCTACATCTCCCGACTGCCTATCCATGTAACATTCCCGTCCTCTGCCCGCGCACGTTTCGCTTCTCGTACGAGACGCCAACAACAACCGGAAGAGAAGGGTTTCTAACTTTTTTTCTTTTTCCCAACCAACGGACATCGGTGCTTTCCAACCAACGAGAAGGCTTGAAAGGCCTTAATAATTACCTGCATACCGAATGTTTCTGTGCCCCCCCCCATCCCTGCAATGCTTGGCTTTGTCCCCTGCACGAGGATTCTCTCCTTCCTTGTTTGTGCATGATAATATCCTTACTTCGTCCACTCAGACGACGATTCAACCCCACCTTCGTTCGTTCTGGAAAATTCCCCGAGATTATTTTTGATTTCCCTTTTCCTCGTTCACTGCTCCACGGATCCTACACGTACGGAGTATGGAGTATCCGTACTTCCAGCTCCCCTCCTCTCCACGAAACGAAACAACCGGGCAATCCGGCTGCAACCGGGAGCATAAGCGGCGGGTTCATCAGCTATCGGTGTCCTTCGCGCCCCCCACCCTGCCCGAAGACCAATGATTCGAAGCGTCTCGCAATAACCAACCGAAGCACGAATGAAAGCGGTCATCTTCACAAGCCAAAATCCACCAACTCACCAACCCACCGGCTTGGGTCCCCTATGTTCTTCAGTGGGACTAACCCGGTCCCTCTCAAATTTCCCAAGGTAGGAAAGAACGTCCCTCAGCCTTGGCATTAGTCTGCAAAGCAGCTAGTCGGAGGAGGATGGTCAAGGATGGCTCGAAGGATGCCCCTCCCTGGCCCTCCCACTGCCGCCTGATGGTCGTGCAATTGCAATTGCCTGCACTATGAAAGCCAAGCCGAGATAATGGTCGTATACGTGGTATATATGTATATGCATAAGGAAGAAACTAACTAGGTAGCTAAGTAACAGCCCGGGAAGGATAGGACAAGTCACCCGTTCCAGGGCAGGTCACATGACCTGCCCTATAAAGCTCAATCCCAAAAGCTGGATAGCGCTATCGAGTGAACCCTTCACTATTCCGGGGAGAGTTTGAGCGACCTTTGGGACGCTGAAAGTCGCTGAAGGGCCCATTGCTTAGCCCCTAAAACGCACTGCCGTAACCTGGCTTCTGCAAGGGTCCCTCCTTACACGTACAGGTGGTCCCATGCCCAAGCCCCTGCCCATGCCGTCGCCGAGACCCCATGTTGGGCCCCGTTTTCTGCGCCGTGATCCGCCTTTGACGTGGGATCCGCCTGCCCCATTTCCCGCCGACGAACCGACCGTCATAGCTACCTACAACTGTACGTTGTTGTACCCTACCGTCAGCGTCAGGGCAGAAGGAAAGACACGCGACAGCTGAGCTGAGCTGAGCTGAGCCTTTTGTCCCTCTCGAATCCTGTTTTCGAACTTTACTGGTCCTGTTCCTCTTCCCTTTCTTTTTGAAGGATATCTCAGACCCCTGTTCGCCAAAAAGCCCATTTTCTCGGGTTTGTTCTGGTACTTTTTCTTCTTCTCTTTTATGCCCTTCTTCTTTCCGCCCCTTACCCTCCAGTTCCAGTCTTTTCTTTTTTTTTTTTTTTTTTTTTTTTTTAACCCGTCAACGCCATACTCAACAACCTCAGCGGCGTCAGCGCATCACGCCTAACCTCTTCCATTCACACCCATTATTACCACACCGTCTGATATTCAACCTGACTGCATAGCTTGACGACAGGGAGAGAGACCAACGGAGAGAGACCATCTCCCTCCCCCCACCAACTCCCAAATCGGCCTGGAATCTGCCAGCAACTACCCATCCGACTCGCGACCATGGGGGAATCAAAAATAACCAGCGACCAAGGGGTCGATCAGTCTTACGCTTCGGGCTTCGACGGCGCCAACAGCAGCGGTCCCAAGGGCTCCGTCCACATGCATCGCCATGAGCCCAATTCCGTTGACGACTCGGGAATCGAGACCAACTCCGCCGACCACATGCTGGAGTCCCTCGGCTACAAGCCCGAGCTGGCCCGGAACCGCTCGACCCTCCAGGTCGCCTTCATGTCCTTCGTCCTCGCCTCCATTCCCTACGGTCTGGCTACGACGCTGTACTACCCCCTCAACGGCGGCGGCCCCGTCAACATCATCTGGGGCTGGCTCGCCGTTTCGCTTATTATCGTCTGTGTCGCTGCGTCTCTGGGTGAAATCACCAGTATTTATCCGACTGCTGGAGGTGTGTATTACCAGGCTTTCATGCTAGCTCCGCATTCGTGGCGTCGTGTCGCGAGCTGGATCTGCGGCTGGCTTTACACTGTCGGGACCATCACCATCACCCTGGCCGTGAACTTTGGCACCACCCTGTTCTTCGTCGGCTGCATCAACGTCTTTGAGAACTCGGCTGGCGAACCTGTGTTCGACCCTGCTGCGTGGCAGATTTATCTCATCTTCCTCGCCATTACCTTCCTTTGCAATCTGGTCTCGTCTCTCGGCAACCGTTGGCTGCCTATACTTGATGTATGTGCACCCTTTTTTTCTTTCTTTTTTTCTTCCTTTTTTTCCTCGTTTGGTTTGGTTTGGTTTGGCTTGCTGGCTCATCTGCCCCCGACTCCTGGACTGGCCTGACCTTTCTTCCCCCATAGACCGTTGCCATCTTCTGGACTTTTGCCGGTCTCATCGCCATCACCGTCACTATCCTAGCTGTCGCCAGGAACGGCCGCCATGATGCCTCTTACGTCTTCACCCACTTCGAGTCGCACTCCGGTTGGCCCGACGGCTGGTCCTTCATGGTCGGTCTGCTGCACGCCGGCTACGCCACCTCCTCGACCGGCATGATCACCTCCATGTGCGAGGAGGTGCGGCAGCCGTCCACCCAGGTGCCCAAGGCCATGGTGGCCACCATCTTCATCAACACCTTCGCCGGCCTCCTCTTCCTCATCCCCCTCGTCTTCGTCCTGCCCGAGATCGAGCCCCTGCTCAACGCCGCCCAGCCCGTGCCCCTGATCATCCGGTCGGCCGTCGGCGCCGCCGGCCCCGCCTTCGCCCTCTGCATCCCCCTCATGGTGCTGGCCCTCATCTGCGGCATCGGCTGCACCACCGCCGCCAGCCGTTGCACCTGGGCCTTCGCCCGCGACGGCGCCATCCCCGGCTCCCGGTGGTGGAAGAAGGTGCACCCGACCCTCGACCTGCCTCTCAACGCCATGATGCTCTCCATGGTCGTGCAGATCCTCCTCGGCCTCCTCTGGTTCGGTTCCGAGGAGGCGTTCAATGCGTTCTCTGGCGTGGGCGTCATTTCTCTCACCGCGTCCTATGCCACTCCCATTGCCATCAGTCTGTTCACTGGCCGGAGGGACGTGAAGAATGCGCCCTTTAACCTCGGCGCGTTTGGTGTGTTTTGTAACGTGGTGGCACTTGGTGAGTGTTTTTTTTTTCTTCTTTTCCTTTTTTTATTAATTGAACGTGTGCTAACGACTGACTTCTTGCTTTAGCCTGGTCCGCCCTCGCCATGCCCCTGTTCTGTATGCCTTCCAACCTCCCCGTGACTGCGTCTACGGTCAACTATGCGCCGGTCGTCTTCGTGGCCGCCACTGTCGTTTCCGCCATCTGGTACTTCGCCTGGGGAAAGAAGAACTACGAGGGTCCCCCCACGCAGAACCCCGTGTACTAAATGCTCCCGCAACGACACGCTGTGACGAGTCCGCTCCTGAAGGCGAAAACCCCGGAATAACGTGCCGGTGTCTCGTGCTGGTGCTGTTGAGTTCCCGTCCGCCTGTTGATGTGCGCTCAGCTCCGCTTCCCCATCGCGCCGCTTCCCGCCATATCAGAAGCTTTGCGTGTTGTTGGTGATGGACCGCAGCCAGAGTCGGCTGCCTCGTTCCGTGTGTGCATCCATGCGCTTCGCAGTGCAGAGAGCTTGAGACATGTGCCGCCGATCGTGCTCGATTTTTTTTTTTCGGATTCAGCAGGCTTTCAGCCCTTCTAATTACGCCGCTTCCAGGATATGGCGCTTCTTTGGTGGAACCAGACTCGATAGAGGGATTGCGGAGCATGTCCAGGACTGTGCTTTTTTCATAGATTATAACTGAGATACCCAGAATTCTTTGCCATTGTGAGCGGACATCCTGCGCCCCGATCAAACCTGCCGCTCTCCGTAGATCTTGGACCGTCTTTCAGACCTGTAAGCTTGGGATGAGAACTCGTGCGAAGTTGTTCCATGTGATTTCGATTCGATATCCTGGTTGAGATATATCGGCGAAAGTACCGCCGAGACCAGGCCGCCGATCCCTGAACCCTGGACCCCTGAACCCCTGAACTGAATCCTTCGGTCTACGCCTTAAACGGCGATCGACATTTTCTAAGAACTGAGCGGCCGAAGCACCGCCAACCGATCCAAGCTGCACGTCGTACCGTACTTGGTATTCGAGAACGTGGGAGAAGCCCCCGGGTGGGTTTGAGGTTTCGTGATGAGATTCCGGCCGAGGTCTTGACTTGTCTGGAACGTATGAGCTGGTCGGATGTTGAGAATTGAAATCCAACAAAGCGGGTGTTGTCCTGTCATCTCTCCCAGCAAATCTGGACTAGGCGCCGAGATATCCCAGGTTCAAGCTAAACGGGTCTCATGGAGAAGATGTTCTAACAGCACGACCGTGGTGAGCACGCCAAGAGAGGGGGTTCCGCGGGGATTACTCCATCATAGTCCCCCCACCGTCGTGGATTCCTCGTTCCATGTCATGATCCCTACGAGTCCGTCCACAACCCAGGACTGATCTTCGAGGCACCCCCGCCCAACTGCTATCTGGGCCATGTCGATTTAAGAACCCTCACACGAACGGAACCATCGCCAGTGCTGTCGCAGAGGAGTAGCTCGCCCCATGTTCCCTCCTCCGGGAGCCATCGCCAGCGCCGACGACTCTGAGAGAGCCGCAGCGAACCACCTCCCCGAGTCCCTGCCGCCGCATGGGCATACTACTCCTCAGGGGCCGAGGACGAACTCGGCATCCAAGCTTCGCGTCGCGAATTCCGAGAGATGAGTCTGTGGCCGAGGATCCTCCGCGACAAAGGACGCTCGAATCCATCTTTGCTGCACGGGTTGGCGGAATCGCAACCGCTGTGCTTCCAACTGTACGTGGGACCGGGATAGCCTATAGGGAGAAAGCCAAAGGCTCGGATTTCGCATCGAGGGCTATAGCGCTGGGAGCTACCGAGATAGAGCTGGCTGAGGGTGTTGGGCGGCCTGTGTTGTACGCTATATCGTGCAATTACGGGCGAAAGGGGGGGTTCGGAAGCTGCTGCGCATTTTGAGGGCGGAGCTTGAGATGAATATGGGTTTGCTTGGGGCCAGGACTGTGGGGGATCTTGTTCCAGAGACGGTGAATAGTGAGAGGGCTGAAGGGGAGGACGAGGTGTCCAGACGGGTGAAGTTGTAAAGCTGGCCTTGGAATTCGTGATGAACTCCCGGGACCCTTTACGGACCGAGGACTGTACAGTGTACTGTGTCGGATGTAGGCCGATAACTCCGGGAGTCCGGAACCGTGGTGGCGATTTCAAAAGAATCAAGCCTCCATGCACCATGCTCTTCAGGATACTGGATAGGGTAAGGGGAGAGAGATTAGAAATCAACAGCGATCGGATAGGTATGTCCGTCCCCACTTACCTATATCCGACAAGTCACCGATCCAACAGACGACAATGGACGGCATTCCTGATTTTATCCCCTCAACTCTTGTACCGTCTGGTGCCTACTTAAAATAGCCCGTCCCATACGTCTGCATCTAACATAGCAACCGCCAGCTTCTGTCTATTCATCTGAATCGATCTTCCTACCTGATCTTACCTGTTCCAGCATTCAAAGTGCCCCAGAAAGCAACCGAATCATGGCTCCCCCTTACGACACCAACACCACCGCCGACGAGCTGGTTAACGACTTCGCGGCCGAAATCAAGGGCAAGGTCGTCCTCACCACCGGCGTAACCCCCGGCGGTCTCGGCGCCGTTTTCGTAGAGACCGTCGCGAAAGCCCAACCGGCCCTGCTGATCCTGGCCAGCCGCAACGTGGCAAAGACGCAAGAGACGGCCGACGCCATCACCTCCTCGCACCCCAACGTGGCCGTCCGCGTCCTCCAGCTGGACCTCGTCTCGCCGGACTCCGTGCGCGAGGCGGCCTCGAAGCTCAACGGCTGGGACGACGTCCCCTCCATCGACGTACTGGTGAACAACGCGGCCGTCATGGCGACCGACTACGCCGTCACGCCCGAGGGCATCGAGAGGCAGTTCGCCACGAACCACTTGGGCCACTTTCTCTTCACGAACCTCATCATGGGCAAGATCCTCAAGTCGGCGTCGCCGCGCGTCGTGAGCGTGAGCAGCAGCGGTCATCGAATGAGCCCGATCCGCTGGGGTGACCTCAACTTTGACGTGCGTTGTTTGGCTCTTCGTTTGTTTCTTGTTGTCCTTATGATCTCTATGACCGCGCGAGCGATGACTGACTGGCCCTCCCCTTACTGTAGAAGGACGCAACCTACAACGGGTGGCAGGCCTACGGGCAATCCAAGACAGCCAATATCCTGTTTGCGATTTCCTTGGCGGAAAAACTTGGCCCCAAGGGGCTTCTGGCGCTCAGTGTCCATCCCGGGGTGATTTTTACCACCGGCCTCGGCACGCACTTGGATTTCGCCAAGGAGTCGCAAGACATCGGTGCGTTCATGTTATTGTCCCAGCCTGCCTTGTCTCTGAAGAACCGAAGATGAGTCGAGGCGCCGGCTCAGTGATGTTGATGCTGACTGGAAGATACTGTTGATGTCCAGTGAGCATCCACAAGAGGCTCGGCAACCCCGAGGCCTGGACACAAACCGAATTCATCTCGGCCGAGCGAGGCACTGCCACACATGTGTTCGCAGCTTTTGCCCCGAGTTTGAAGGGTGAGTTGAAGATTTTTGATGTCTTCCGGCCCCTTGATTCTCATTTCGAGTGTGCTGTGTAAGCATCAAATCAAATTAAACGACGATGACTGACCTCTTCTTCCCAACCAGACCACAATGGGGCGTATCTGCTGGATTCGCGGGTTGCCGACCCATTTGGAGACGAGGTGATGGCCTGGGCCACGAGCAAGATCGAGGCAGAAAGGCTTTGGAAGTTGAGCGAGAAACTTGTCGGCCAGAAGTTTTCATTTTGAGTGCAGGATTTCGACGAGTGATGAGGGTGTACGTGGAGAATGAAGTGCCAGTGTGATTCTCTCAACTCCCCTAAGCTTTTTCATGATGGGTCGGGCCACTGCAGTCGGCCAAGACAACCATGCCAAAGACAGTCAAGCGTGCGTAATCGGTCGGCAGATAGAAGCGGACCGGTGAACGCATTAAAAATGAGATCAATGGAAAGATGTTGCTCCACATGAGGTGATTGGTAAAACGTCATAAAAAGCGTCGAGACTCGAATCAGCCTCGGCGTCCACAGTCCACATGCACTCAGTGCTGTCATCTCCGTGGCCATTTTGTCGACTTTGGAGTCGGCGCCGTCTCAGCCGCAAAATAAAATAAAAGAACAAAGGGCAAATCGAAAACCATGGGCGAAACGGAGGTGCAGAAATGGCAGACGCAGCAGGATGGGTTCGGCCACCTCACCCAGTCGAATGCGCCGATGCCCAAGCCGGGCAAAGATGAAGTTCTCGTCAAGATCAACGCCGTCTCCCTAAACTACCGCGACACCGAGGGTAGGGTAACGTCCCGTATTCCCTGTCAAGAGTCAAAAATAGTGCAAGCTGACTGACGGTGCTACCGTGCCCCTCAGTGGTCATGGGCCTGTACAACCACCACAAGACGGTGGAATCAGGCAGACCGGACCCCATCGTCCCGTGCTCGGACATGTGCGGCACGGTGGTAGCAGTGGGCGAGAGCAGCAACAGCAGCAGCAGCGACGTGACGTGGAAAGTCGGCGACAGGGTTTTATCGACCTTCAATCAGAGTCACCTGTCGGGACAGATCCAGGGGGCCGACATGGCCACGGGGCTCGGGCTGCCCCTCGACGGCGTGCTGCAGACCTACCGCGTGTTCCCCGCGACGGGACTGGTCAGGGCGCCTAGCCATTTGTCGGACGAGGAGGCGGCGTGTCTTCCCATTGCTGCCGTGACGGCCTGGATGGCTATCAACCAGTTCCGACCGTTGGGTCAGCCGGGAGGGGCAGGGGAGACGGTGCTGCTGCAAGGGACGGGAGGGGTGAGCGTGAGTGGGTTGCAGATTGCGCATGCTGCTGGGGGCAAGAGTATGTGTTCTTTTTTTCTTTTGTCTTTCCTTTTTTTTTTCTCTCCCTCGTTTTCTCTCTCTCTTCTTCTTCCCCTCTGCACTGCATCACGAGTTAGTGCATGTCTTGGACTGACCCTGCGTCTTCCTTTCCTCCCTTCTCAAACCACAGCCATCGTCACATCTTCGTCGGACGCCAAACTGGAGCGAGCCAAGAAACTCGGCGCCGACCACGTCATCAACTACCGCACGAACCCGGACTGGGAGAATGCCGTGATGGAGATGACGGGCGGACGAGGCGCCGACATCATTCTCGAGTGTGGTGGCGCGCAGACACTGAGGAAGTCGTTCGATGCCGTGGCCTTTGGAGGGGCTATTGCCTGCATCGGGTACGTCTCGGGGAAGCAGGACGCGCCGGGCGATAGGACCAATGTGAACCTGTTGGCACTCTTGCGGAACGTGACTCTGAAGGGCATTATCAATGGGCCTCGCGATCGGTTTGAGGAGATGATCAGGTTTTATGAGGCGCATGGCATCCACCCGGTCGTGGACAAGGTGTTTGGCTTCGAGGAGGCGGTGGAAGCGTTCGAGTACTTGTTCCAGGGGTCGCACTTTGGGAAAGTCGTGATCAAGGTGGGTGCTTGAGAGGCTGCGTGCCCTGGGTTTCGTCAAGAGAGTCGAAGCATATAGTGTCAGACGTGTGGAGTACCTTGGTCCTATATATCCACCCTTATTTCCCCTGCTTTTTCCGTATAGTTAGATATTCCCGTGAAGTATTATAAACTTCACTTAGATAAATACATATATAATTCCGCGTACCTTATTTATGTTCTAATAGTTATAAGCCCGGCGTTCTAATAAACGAAGCTATTTTGATCGATCCTATAGCTTCTAGGCTATTAAATCAGCCTTAAGTCTATAGCGGGTAGTTTAGTATTATTAGTAATGTCCGCCTGCTTTAGTTTTATTTAATCGTTTTATCGTTTTTAATCGTACTATCGTTTTAAGCGTTTAGTATAGTTAATTAACCTTTTCGTTTATTCTATTCCACTGCTTTTTATTAGTATAACGATGGCTTCCACGGTAGTAGTGCCCGTTATAGGCCTTATAACGCTTACCTCTCTAAAAGACTAGAGGCCTTAGATTAAAGCCGTGATAACTATCGCGTACTCCCACGATATCGCCGACCTCGTTAATCCCGACCTTAAAGAGGCTAAACGGCCTAAGCGCCGTATTCGAATCGATCCACCGTAACCTCCTACTATAGCCGAAGAACGTAACGCCACTAATTAGGAGATACTATTTAAGATCTAGTAGGTGGAAGAGGATCGGTATAAGGCTGAAAAGAGGGGGATTTAAGCACTCCACGACTATATCATAAAGACGGTTAGCCCTGCTTTAAAGGATTAGTACGCCGGTAAAAAGAAAGTTAAGGATATCCTGTATACCCTTAAGACGCACCTTAAGCTAACGAACGCCGCCTAGAAGTCAATGATTAAGAGACGCTAGGACGAATACCTCTAAAACGTTAGGCGTTTACCCTATAAGCGTTAGCTAGAAGACTTTATAAAGCTATACCGCGACGCCGAGACGTATAAAGTTTAAGAATACAATATTAAGGAATAATAGATAGACAGCTTCTTTAATGCTATCGGCTACGTAGCACTAGAGTAGTTAGAAGGACGTTTTATATAGCTTATCCGGTTAGAAGAGGAAGACCTACCCTTAATTTAATCTATCGTGGAGGAATATACGATATAGCTTTATCGCCGCTACCCGTACCGACTCGATAAGAAGCCTACCGTAGTATCCTTTTATACGGTAACCTTCCTAGGTAAGGATAAAGAAGGTAAGGATTAGCGGGTATAATCGGGATAGTAAGATGATTAGTAGTCCTCTCTATAGTAAAAGAAAGAGTGGCTTTATGATTACCGTAATAAAAAGAGGAGTAAATATAACTATAAGCCTCTATAGAAGTGCCTAAACGGTAACGAGGTATATAGGAAAAAGGGATATACACCTTTAAAAGAAATCTTAGAATGCTATGACCGGATTATTAAGACCTGGGATAATAAACGTTAAAAGAGATTCCGGGAGAATATCGAAAAGGACGCTAAAAGCCTGAAAACGGGTACTGAAAAGGACTCTTAGAAGTTATAGCCGAAAGAATCGTCGACGGAGGTATCTAATTTTATCGATAACCAGGATAAGGATTCCGACGAGGAATTCTATAGGATATACTCTTTTCTATAACTAAACGGTAACGTTAGCAGTAACCTCTTTAACTAGCTATTAATCGATTCCGGCACCTTTAGGTATATTACTAACTAATAACACCTGCTATAGGACTTCGAACCTGCTATAAAAGAGTATCGTTTTTAGACGGGTGGTAGAGAGACTAAGCCAGTTAAGGGTTATAGTAGGATATAATTAGAAGTAGACGACGAATATAGTAATCCCTTCGTTTTAGTGCTAAATCGTGTTACTTTTATATAAGATTACCTAATAACCTTAATCGTAACCAGAAGATTAAAGGAATAGGGTATCGTTTTTAATACCGACCTCGAGGTCTTAAAGGTTAAGAGATCTGCCGAAGAGGGCTTATTAGCCCTACTACTTAATAACGTTAACGATTAATACGCCCTTATTCTAACGGATCGCTAATAGCACCTACTAAGCAGCTTCTTTAATAGCTCTATAACGCCTACTATAAGCGTGGTAGATGCTCGCTTATAGCACGAGAGGCTAGGGCACGCCGGCGCTACTACCCTTAATAAAATTAGAGATACCCTTATCGGAGGCGTTATTAAAGGAAAAGGTCCTCTTATAGTGAATTATAAGGCCTATACCCTTAGTAAGGCGAAGAAGGTAGTATCTAGACGGTCGCCTAACCACTAAACGACGATACCGTGGTATAGAGTAGAGATTAATCTTTTTAGCCTTAATAAGGCCTATAACAGTATAAAGGTTATGATGCTTTTATACAATCTCTGTACTCGTTAAGCTATTATACGGTTCCTGCGTGACCATAAATTAGCCTTACCCACGTTAGTGAATTTTGAGTTCTTCCTTTAGAGGTAGTACTACTATATAATTGTAGTAATCCGCCTGGATAGAGAAAGATCCTTTTATAAAGGCTTCGATAAATAGGCCGACGAGAGAGGGATTTTGCTTAAGAGGTTATCGCTATATATAGCCGCGTAGAATCCGAAGGCAGAACGCCACGGCGATGTTATTTTTACTATCGCGAGGACCCTAGCCACGGCCTTAGGTATCTAATAGGATATATAGCCAGAACTAGTGGCTGCTATAGTATATCTATATAACCTTATCCCTCGGAAGGACCTGTAATAGAAAACCCCTTAAGGGCAGATAGAGGATTAGATTAATAAATAAGGCCCGAAGAAGATCCTGACGAAGCCTATCGTTAGCCACCTAAACAGGTATGGTTATAGAGCCTATCTACTAACCGCGGATTATTAACGAGGTCGTAACCATAATACTAAGCTCGTAGAGAGAGTATATATCGGCTATTTAATCGGCTACGAGAGTATTAATATATACCAGATTTAGGTGCTAAAATTAGGGAGGATCCTGCGCACGAGAGACGTTACTTTTAACGATAAATAGCTATATAAAGATCGTGACCACGAATCTAAGGTGTTAATTAAGGTTTTCGAGTAGCTTAATCTGCCTATAGATTATTAACTCCACGATCTTTTAGGTATTACTACCGACGTGGTCGATTTTCACCCTTAAATGCTACTAGAATAGAATACTATAAGGGAGGCTATAGCGGCCGCTGCTGCTGCTGCTAGTGCTTCTAGGGGGGTGGATAGAGGTGCAGGTTTAATAACCACTGCAGAATCTACAGAAGAATAATAATAGCAGGAATAGTAGGAGGCACCTAATTAACAGGCACGTGGAATAGGGCAAATAAGCCCTATAACGCCTTCCACGCCTCCGGCGGCACCTGCTTTAACGTCTTCTATAATTACACCTATAACTATGCCTTTAACGGCACCTGTTTTCCCTCCTCTAATAATTATAAACGGTCCTCCTATACCATTAACTGGAACTACAGATCTACCGCCTGTTTTTAAACGGTCTAACGATACCGAAGATTAATCTGACGATACGGCCGTAACCGGCGATACCGTTAAGATAGGATTATTATCCCCTGACTAATCGGTTCTTAAAGAGGAATTAACCACTGCTACCGCCGTTAATCCGGTATCTACGGCTCCTACTGCGGTAGAGCCACCTGCTATAGCTGAGTCTTTATAAACCTCTTCTTCTACTACTATAGCTAACTAACCTGCTTCTATAAGCAGAAGAAACCGCCCTCCTATTATTCTAACGGCCGCTGCCGACCGGCCTGCCCGTAGTAGGCGTCTAACCGACCGTTATACCCCTCCTTTCTTTTATACCTTCTATAATTAGATCGAGATACCGAAGAAGCCGCTGCTACGCCGCGATATGCCTAAGGAACCTCTGAACTGGTCTTAAATGCTAAAGAGTCCCTATAAAACGGAATGGATTAAGGCCGCCTTCTAGGAGGTCGGTACGCTTAGGTTAATAGGCACCTTTAAACGGTGGGAATAGTCCTACTAGCAGGGGTATAGCTCGGGACTGCCTAAATTAGTTCTAAGGCTACTAGACCTTAAATAGGTTCTTAAGTATAAGGTCGATCCTACTAGTTACGTTAATAAGTTTAAGGCACACCTATACGTTTAAGGGGATTAATAACTAAATAACCATCTTAACGCCTACGCCTCCACCCTCGCTAGAAGGACCTTTAGGTCGCTGATAGGCATTATAGCCCACTTTGATCTTAAGACTCGGTAACTTAATGCCGTCAACGTATTTACTAATACCCTGCTTAACGAGGAAATCTATATTAAAGACCCTCCTGTTTAGTAGCTGCTCTAGTCGGCTACGGGCCTTAAAGCCCACGAATAGCTCGAGGACCTTTTAAAGTAACGCCCTCCTATATAACATAGAGGGATTTAAAGGCTACGCCGCGCGTTATATAACCTCCGCCGTTCCCTAAAGCTGTAGCACGAATAGCTCTCTTTAGTTTTAGGTAAGTGCGACCTAAAGTAATTAACTAAAGACGATTGCGTCTTTAAAAGTAAGGAACTAATCGCGTTCTTCTACGTAGACGATATTATTTTAATCTATAGGAAGGATTATTAATCTACTGCTAATAACCTTATATAACGGATATAGTAGCACTTCTAGATTAGAGATCTAGGCCTAATTAAGTGGTTCCTGGGGATTAGGGTGATTCGAGATCGCTAATAACGCAGGCTTTAGCTTTCCCTCGAGAACTATATCACCGATAAGATAAAGGCGTTATAGGTGGATTATAGAGGTTATAGGGTTAAAAGCCCTCTTCCTTATCCTAACGTTTTGGAACTATCTACTACCGACTAATAAACCTCCGAAGAATTAATATATTTATATCTTCGGAAGGTCGGTTCTATTAACTACGCCGCCTATTAGACCCGGCCTAACGTCTCTAAAGCCGCTTCGAGGCTTACCGAATTTAGCATTAACCCGTTAAAATAGTATCACGAGGCTGCTAATAGGTGCCTAAAGTATCTCGGCTCGATAAAGACCCTATGCCTTTACTTCGGACCACGTAAAGACCATTAAAAGCCTGTACTCCTCTATGCTTCCGACGCCGCCTTCGTAGACGACCGTGAGACTAGGTATAGCTTATAAGAGTACACGACCCTGCTATTCGGCGGTTCTATAGACTAGAAAGTAAATAAGTAAATAAGCGTCGTGACCTCTAGTACTAAGACCGAGCTTATAGCACTTTCTGCTACTATTAGGTAGTATATCGCGTCGAGGCATTTAATAAAGAACCTAATACTAACCTTTAAGGAGGAACCACTAATAGTATACTACGATAATTAATAGACTAAGTAGCTACTAGAATCCCTTAGGCTATAGGTTACCTCGAAATTAAAGTATCTTAATATCCACGCCCTTTAGATCCGATAAACCGTTTAAAAAGGGACCGTCTTAATTAATTAGATCGCTACCCACGATATAGTTAGCGATAGCCTTAAAAAGGTACTGCCCCCGTAGTAACATAGGGCGTTTATATATCTGTTAGGGATAGAGGTCCTAAGCCACGGGGCCTAAGGTAATTTATAAGAGGCGCGGTGCTGAGTTTATAATCTGTAGCCTAGATTAACCGTGGTTTTAGTGCCCTTTAGATTATTATTTGGGTACCCGTTTTTAACGTGGTTTTAAGGTTAATTTGACTACCTGTTTTTACACGTTTTTAACGTTTTTAGGCATAAAAGGAGCGCGCTTTTTAATAAGCCGTTCTTTAACTGTTAGATTAATATCTAGGCCACTATTTTACCCTAGATTTACGGCTTTAAAACAAGCAGAATAGTTAGGATTAATCCTGTAGTCCTGGGAGGGTGTGTTAGATACTATAGCCACCTTATCGGGGTGTGATAAACTATATAGTGTTAGATGTGTGGAATACCTTAGTCCTATATATCCACACTTATTTCCCCTGCTTTTTCCGTATAGTTAGATATTCCCGTGAAGTATCACAAACTTCACTTAGATAAATACACACATAATTCCGCGTACCTTATTTATGTTCTAACAAAATGCATTGCTTATAAATGTATAAACGAGGAGTGCTGAGTACATGTAGGATGCGTGTGGTTAGTAAGCCCTTTACGTAAGACATAACAAAGTTCCCTCCTGCAGGTACCTCCACTCGGCGCATCTCCCCCCTGTCTCACGTCTCACTTCTCGGTCTCGGTCTCGGTCTCACAGTCTCACATGCACCACAGCCCAACCGCATCCCGGCTCCTTAATCCCCCTCTTCACTTCTCCTCTGCATCAGATCAAGCCACATTCCGATGTCACTCTCCAACTCCTTCTCTCTTTCCTTTCCCGGACCTCCTCATTCCAATTTGATGCCAAACCTATGAGTATCAATCAGTATCCCTCCCAAATCACGGTCAATAACCTCCCGAGTCCAGACTCAGAGTGCAGAGTCAAGACTTCATAATGGCGTCCCAGTCGGACTCCACGGCCTCTTCCGCCGAGAGCGGACCCAACGGCAGCGGTTCTAACCCCAAGAAACCCATTATCATCGTCGGCGCGGGCCTCGCCGGCCTCGTAACCGCCTTCGAAGCGGCCGTCCAGCGCAAAGTGCCCACCATCCTCGTCGACCAGGAATCCCGCCTCAACGTGGGAGGCCAAGCCTTCTGGTCTCTCGGCGGCCTCTTCCTCGTCGACTCGGCCCAGCAGCGCCGCATGGGCATCCGGGACTCCAAGGCCCTGGCCCTGCGCGACTGGCTCTCCACCGCGCGCTTCGACCGCGAATCCACCGGCGACTGTGAGGACTACTGGCCGCGCCGCTGGGCCGAGGCCTTTGTCGACTTCGCCGCCGACAAGTCCGCCGACGGGTTCGAGGCCTACGTGAAAGCCCGCGGTCTGGGCTTCCTGTTCAATGTCGGCTGGGCGGAGCGCGGGGACGGCAGGGCCGACGGCCACGGGAACTCGGTGCCCCGCTTCCACGTCTCCTGGGGTACGGGGCCCGAAGTCGTCCGCGTGTTCCTGGACCCCGTGCTCCGGGCCGAGAAGGAAGGTGTGGTGGAGTTTCGCTGCCGTCACGTCGTGGATGAGATCGTCACCGACCCTTCCACGGGCCGGGCCGTCGGCGTCCGTGGTCGGGTTCTCGAAGACGACGACGCGCCGCGCGGCGTGTCCTCTTCTCGAAGGGAAATCTCCACCTTCGAGCTCCTCGGTTCCGCTGTCGTCGTCACGTCGGGCGGCATAGGAGGCAACGTCGACGCCGTGAAAGCCGCCTGGCCCACCGACCGCCTCGGGTCCCAGGTGCCGCAGCACTTCGTCGTCGGCGTCCCCGCCCACGTCGACGGGCGCATGATCTCCATCGCCGAGCGGGCGGGCGCCCGCGTCATCAACCGCGACCGCATGTGGCACTACACCGAGGGCATCGAGAACTGGAACCCCATCTGGCCGGGCCACGGTATCCGCGTGCTCCCCGCGCCGTCGTCCCTCTGGCTCGACGCCACGGGATCCCGCCTCCCGCCGTTCCTCTACCCGGGCACCGACACGCTCGCGACGCTGAAACACATCTGCGCCACGGGGTACGACTATTCGTGGTTCATCCTCGACCAGACCATCATCGCAAGGGAGTTCGCGCTGTCCGGGTCGGAGCAGAACCCGGACGTCACGGGCAAGAGCATCTGGCAGGTCCTGACGCAGCGCGTGCTGGGCAAGAAGGGCACGGTCCCCGTGCAGAACTTCCAGAAGCACGGTCGTGATTTCGTGGTCCGCGACACCCTCGAGGCGCTGGTGGAGGGGATGAATGCCCTGGCGGCGGAGCGCGGCGGGCCGGCCCTCGACTTTGAGGAGATCCGCGACGTGGTGGAGGCGCGCGACGCCCAGTTCGAGAACCCGTACGCGAAGGACGCGCAGGCCATGCTGATCCGCAATGCGCGCGAGTACTGGCCTGATCGCCGCAGCCGGGTCGCGCCTCCGCATCGCCTCCTTGATCCTGCTCACGGGCCCCTCATCGCCGTGCGTATGAACTTGCTCACCCGCAAGACCTTGGGCGGGATTGAGACGGACTTGCGCAGTCGTGTGATGAGGTCTGATGGTAGGACGCCGCTCCCTGGGCTGTATGCCGCGGGCGAGGCGGCTGGGTTCGGCGGAGGAGGGGTGCACGGGTATAGCTCGCTCGAGGGCACCTTTTTGGGAGGGTGTATCTTCTCTGGCCGGGCTGCCGGTCGGGCTGTCGCCGAGGAAGTTCTGGGTGCTGGTTCGGAGGCTGGTTCGGGTCCTCCAGGACCGCCTCCTTCAAGCAGGTTATGAGCAAACCACTGATGACGACAGTTACGATGTTGATGTTGATATGGATTTCTTTCTTTTCTTTCCTTTCCTTTTTTTTTTCTTCCTCTTTTTCTTCTTCTCACTTTTTGTTTGATTCATCTACACATCTAGCGGGTTTATTCTGCTTCTGCTCTTTTCGAAGAACCTATTTTCAGCGGTTTATCGGTCCATGCCCTCGTCTTTCAGACGATGGAATCCGAATATCTCTCGCTTTGACTCTCTTGGTCCCTCCAAACATGACCATGGCTTGGCACAAAGCGGCGTTTGCATAGGGGGCATCTATAATGGTATCTAGAATACCATTGGGCGATGCAGGTCGAGTGGAAAACGTGACCACAACGCAGATGGCGGACCAAATCTTCGTCCTCCAGGTCTTCCATGCATATCGCGCTGTCGCGGGGGAAGTCAGCAAGAGACCCAGACACCCAAGACCGCACGGTCAAAGGGGCGTCAACATGTTACATGACTGCCACCTACCATTCAGACAACGACTCGAGCCAGGCCAAAGGGCGAACAGTTCGTCCCTTGCGGCCGCCCGGACCCGTGGCCTTCTTGACGCAATGGAATTCTTCCTCGGGCGCCTCCGCGTCGAGTTGCCACAGTGGCCCGCCGTTCGGCTCGAGGTCAAGGTCACTCGGCGACAATCTTCTTACTTCTGCTTCTGCGTCTACCGGCCCGAGACGGCGGTGCTGTATCCTGTTGATGTTGCGCTTTCACTCTTAGCCATCGTGAGGCAGAGGAAGAGAACATGAAATAACATAGAATGGTACGGGTGTATCACATCATGTATGGCACGGTACGTACTCAATGGCGACGATCATACAGCAACTGAAAAGTATCAGCACACTGAACGGGACAATGATCGCGATGCTGAGCCCGATTGCGATTCTGCCGATAAGATCAGAGTGGTGGGGGGGCATGGGCGAAATGGTCGGAATGGGGATGGGGGCGTCCATGGCTTCTGTCGCTCAGCGGTGCGGTTGAACTTGGGACTCAGGGCCCCAGGTGCCGACGACACACTCCTGGGCAATACAGTTGTCGTTGCATAAACTGAAGACGCAAGGCAAGTCTCATGCCATCGTCGATGGGGGAGTGATGGAATAATGGTGGGTGGGTGTGCCGGGGCGACCATAAGGAGAAGATACCTACTGGATCATGAACCTGGGTAACATCGTATATACCTAGAGGGGTCGAGTCTTAATTATACTCAAGCAGTCAAGCTGACTTTAACCCTCAGGGGGGGCATGAAGACGCCTCAGGTCCTCGGATACGAGGCGATGTCCGGAACTCTATACTGGCTGAGTCGTTGGTGGCGTCGCGCCGTCGTCTGATTGCACACGGAGAAACCACTTGCCAGTTATTGTTTACACCAAGTGAAATGCCCTGGCTAAGGACCCTCAAGGAGTCAAGAGATGTATGGGGATGTGGACTAACCAACTCACCAAGGACCGTTGAAGGGCTTGTGATATCACCAGGATTCAGGTATCTCGTGCAACCTGTAGTTCACACATAATATACCTGTTATATTGCGACGTTATTGAAGCCAATGATTTACTATCGCGGTCACTATTCAGAAGGGAAAATGGGGTTTGGGGCTGTCAACTAAAACGGAGGTCATATGCGGAATGCCATACTGATATGCTGGCGATGGGGCGGGTTCCATCAATCAACAGAACCTCCACTACCAGAGAGAGCCCAACTTACCGGACAGAGAATTGTCTACTGGTTGTGATTGTCAATCTGGAATAGTCAAAGCATTGACTGGACAGCTCTGTAGAGTCTAGACTCCAGTCCTCACTCCTGTACAGGACCCAGGGGTAATGTGGAAGCTGTGGACAAGTCCTACAGTCCTACAGTCGGTCGACACGGACTAGTTAATTCTTCCGACAAATCGACGGTCAGGAGATAATCCCACCTTGGTACTCAAAAAGTCATTCACGGTCGGCATAGCGTGTGGGCTGATACTGATAGGCGCTGGCGTGGCCTGATTCATGTAAGTGACGCCGGAGCTGTCAAACTCTCACGAGTCACCCACACCACACGAAATACAACAGCCCATACAACCGGAAGTGCTGCCTATAGGCGTCGTCCTCTTGCTGTGAGCTCACGCTTACATGCAATGTACGGAGGCGGGAGGACCAAGAAGTCCTTGAAGTCCTGGTGGGAAAGTAAACAGCACAATAAACGCTACATGTAGATTGTATGTGAGAATATTCAGTAAAACGTCAGGCAGAACGTTCCAAAAAGAAGAAGAAAAAAAAGAAGAAAAAAATACCTAGTTGACATCAAAGATTCAAACGGTAAATGAGAAACAAACGAGGGTCATAGACATCCGATCAAGGCATCGCCGGCTCCTCCTCCTACTTCTTCCCATGCCGGAGATACGCACTAGGCGGTGTCGTCAACGTAACCATATAATTCTCCCCCGTATTGGCAACCGCATGAACATAGACATCCTCCCCATAAGGCCAGTTATCCGGCACCTTGACGCTATCCCGGGCGTCATACTGCGCATAATCATCCGGCGACACCTCCTCAGAGACGAGACACTTCTGCACCGCCTCGACCGCATCCGCGCGCCGAACAAAGGCACCCTGGATTTCCGTCGAAATGGCCGGGTCGGCCTTGTAGTCGATCGTAGTCTGGAGCACGTAGTGCAGGTGGTCAACCCCGCCAGGGAGGAGGACCGTCCCGTCCGGGACCGCCCGCAGCTTCTCCGGGTTGGGATTGGTGTCGGTCCCCACCGTGAACACCTGGCCCGCCGGCGCCTTGGCGTAGACCACGATGCCGTCGCCGTGCTGCCAGCTCTCGGCCGTCTGCGGCGTCTTCTCCTCGTAGAGGTCGAAGTCGGACTTGTCGTAGCCCAGTTGCGGGATCACTTGCAGGGCGAACTTTTTGGCCGCGGCGAGCTCCGAGTGCGTGCCCAGGACGTAGACGCGCGGGATGGGGTTCTGCTTGCCCACGGCGGCTTCGCGCTCGTCGACGGTGAGGACGGTGTGGTAGAGGAGGTCTGGGACGTGGGCGCTTTCGGGTTTTCCTTCTGACGCCATGTTATCTTGTCTTTTGGCTCTTGGGTAGATGTACGAGGTGTTGAGGGTTGTGAGTCGTGACTTGTTAAGTTGTTGAATAGGGGCTCCAAAGAGTCAAAGACAGCACAGCACAGTGGATGAAGTATGGGACTGGATGCAATGTTCAGGGCCAAGTTAGCAACCTATGTCTATATATGATATATCCCCCCTCGAGCATCCGCCGCTAAAACGTCATGAATGGGAGTGAGGAGATTTGTATGATGATTAGGCTTCACCCCGTATGAAAATACGTTTCCATGACGCCAACAATTTGTGGTATCACCCAAAGCATCCGATTCTATGCGACCACTCAAAGCCTGCTACGGAAATCGTAGCTTAAGCTATGGCTTGACCTTTCTGCTTTGGTCCGTTGCGCGGAGGGCTCTCGGCTCAAGGCTGTCAAACCTACTACAGAAAATCCATCCCTTTTCGGTAAAGGTCCTCTCGTTGGTAAGCACTGCTGCAGTCTTCCTTGACAGCTCTCTGCCGCTCACGGGCCTCGGGCCCTCTCGCCTCTATATTACATAAATATACTACAAAGAAATATCAACCAAGATGGAAATCTTCGCACCCCTTAACCTGGAATCACTTCGGTCCCAAGGCCTAGCAGGGCCCCTGGAACTCAACGGCACGCGTCGTCTTCACGTGCCGCGACTCTGCCATGTCTGCTGCCGCACAGTCGCACTCGCTGCGATGAATGGCCCAAGTCAAGGCAGCGGATATACTCGGGCGTAGCTATATATACATCTAGGATGCTGGATACACGTGCAGCCAGAATGCAAGTCGTTGTTTCATCGTCTAGCCTTTTTATAAAGGACAACGTAGTGCGCTGTCCAGAGGAGCAAATCATCTGTGCTTATATATTTGTTCTACATAGTAACGCCGGAAGCAATCTCCTATGTTTTGTCTCGCGCCTCTACCATGTCCCACAAACTCCTCCACCGATGATCCGAGCCCGAGAAGTACAAAAGTTTCATCAATCAGCGCCCCGTCCATGCTGTCCACATTTCCATTACTCACACGCTTTTCTTTTGCCCCTCTCTTATTTACAGAAAACTGGTGGCCAAGGTAACGCCGGTAGTATAGACCATCCCGACAAGCCCCAAGACCATCAGCGCAACGTCGAGGACCCTCTCCCTCCTGGTCGTCGCGACAGCCTTGTAATGCAAGTACGGCGGGTAGATGTAGACGAGCGGCACGCAAGCGAACGAGCCGATGAGGGCCACGAAGCGATCCAGGTTGGCGGACCCGCCGATGGAGACGATGATACAGACGGCGACGAGGAAGGTCCGGAACGCGTTCTTCTTCCACTTGGTGCGGAGGTTCTTCTTGCCGGAGCGGCGACCGAACAGTTTGGTCTCGAGGATGCGCTGCGCCGGGAACAGCTGCACGGGGTTCCCGACGAGGACGGCCAGGGCGTACATGAACTGCACGGCGTTGACGAGCCTGGAGGACGGGGGGAAGTTGTCGATGACCTCGATCTTGGTCTCGGACCCGAAGGTGGCGTAGCACAGGGCGCCCACGCTGGCGAAGATGCAGGTGATGATGACCATGACAGTGGCGAGCAGCTTCTCGAAGTGCTCGGGCTGCTTCATGGACGACTGGATCGGGAGGATGAGGCCGATGCCCTCGAAGGTGAAGATGGAGGCGCCGATGGTCAGGGTGTAGCCGTGCGGGTTGAACAGCTGGACGGTGGGGTGCACGCCGCGGGTGGCGAGGACGGAGATGTCGTACGACCAGATGTAGACCACGCCGATGATGATGAAGACGTCGGCCAGCAGGGCGGCGGGGCCGAGCTTGGAAATGTTGCGGATGAAGGTCAGCGGGACCAGGAGCAGGGCCTGGATGCCGATCAGGGCGGGCGTGCTGAGCGGTTTGGACCCGGAGGTCACGGCGTCGAGGAAGGAGGCCCAGTTGTCGGCGACGAAGACGAGGCCGGTGCAGACGAAGCCGAGCTGGGAGAGCGAGATGGAGGCGAGGATGAGGCTGCGCATGCGGGCGCCGGCAATCTCCTTGCCGATCTCGCCGTAGCCGCCGCCGACCTTGGCGCGGCACTGCAGGAGGAGGTGGAAGGCAACCATGGAGAGGAAGGCGATGGAGACGAGGGTCACGGAGGAGAAGAGGATGCCGCCGTTGTTGAAGGCCTTGGGGAGGAACATGATGCCGGTGCCGACGAAGGCCTTGAGAGTGGTGAAGAAGGTCTTGAGCACGCCGGCGTCTCCCACTCGCATTCTTGACGGGGCGCGGCGGATCGGCTTCCGGCGTGGTAATAGCGGCTGGGTCTCCCTCCCGCTTTCGACGTCTTCCTCCCCCTCCACACTCTCCTCCGTATCTTCTTCTTCGTCGCTATCGGCAAGGTCTTCTCCGGCGAAGGAGCCGTATAGGTCGAGGAACTCGACGAAATTCTTGGCCACGGGCAGGTTGGAACCCAGAGCACCGGCACCGTGCTTTCGGAGGACGAAATGGCGGCGAAAGCCCTGGGGGGCCAGCATCTCGTCGGCTGCGAGCAGGGATTCGTCATCGTCGGCGATGGTCGGGCGTTGCGGGTGGGAGAAGGTCTGTGATCTCTTGAATATTGGGGCGTTCTCGCGGGCGTTCATCTTGTAGAGTTCGCGGTGAATGTCTCCGCCGGGGAGATGCAGAGAGGAGGACTCTTGCGAGACCGAGTGGTCAGAGTGCTGCTGAGGTGGTTGTCCGGCAACATTGCTATTGTCGGTGTAGGCTGCGTCGAAACCTGTTCCGTAGCCGGGGGGGAGGTGTTCTGAGATGGCATTGCGGCGAGATTCGTCAGACGACGGTGTTCCCGAGTCGGACATGATTCAAGGGTGGGCTGGCAACGATTTGTACGAAAATGGAAGCGAAAATGAAAATTATGATGGATGCGGTGGAGGATGGAGATGCTGATAGAATTGGTGGTCTGCTTCCGCCCATTGAATTTGGCGATCGTTGTCCAAAGACTATAAAAAGTCGGTCAGGGTCATCCTGGTAATAGGAAAGGGGAAGAAGCAAAGGTGCAAAGAGAAGAAGAAAAAAAAAATTTATTCGCCCGGGGGGAGGAACTGAAGACGAAGCACACCGAATCCAACCGATGCGACGTCGTGACGAAAACCACCAAGTGGGGCCGATAGAAAACTGTTCGAGTGTACTTCGTCTCCCACCAATCCGTAGGGTGATATGAAGTAGAACTTAAAGAGAAGCGGGGTCAACCGTGCGGTTGCCAAAAGTTGACCGAAACGAAAGCATGAAAGCGTCGACTTCAACACACAGTTACGTCACTGTTTTGGTGTCGCTTACATAATGACTCATGGAGTTGACGATTACCTAATGAGATGTCACGGAAGGTTGGATTGTGGGAGGGGGAAGGTGGAAGGTGCAAGGGAAGGTGCAATGGAAGTGAGCTTCGGTTTTTTGTCCCTGACCCAAATCCCCAAACCCATCGTCAAATCTCTCCATACCGGGTGGACGTTCATCACTTCCAGTTCAACGTGCAGTTGGTGTTACACGGTTCAAACAATCATTTATCGACAAGGTCTTCGCTTTTACCTTCTCGGAAAAGGTGCTGCAGATCTCGGTTGATCCTCATCTCCACCCTCCACCCACAAACACACCCCTAAACACCTGTACACCAACATGCCAATACCATCCCATCCTTATCGGGACGGCGTGTCGGCTTTGACCTAACGATCACCCCCCGAGTCAGATTTCAGAAGCGAGTGTTCTTTCGTGGACGCCGTTTTCAAATCGCAAAAACACCATGCTGAAGAAAAAGGCTTCGCCAGAGGTGTGAAATCCGATGGCCGACTCGTCGTTCTGTACGGAGACCTTCTTAACTTTGCAACTATGCAGCCGTTCTACTTCTTCCATTCTTGCGGCCGTGTTATGCACATTTCGCTGGCCAGCCTTTACGATATTCGACGTCCTGTTTGTGTTCCGGCAGCGCATATTGCGCACTACCACGTACGGTACCTTGTACGGACTGCGGAGACAACTGCAACTGACTGTTCAAGGACACGGCAGATGACCGGGCCTCCGTCTGTATCTCGCGAAAGAGGAAGAGCAAATGATTGAGCGACAATCGGAGACCGAGAGAAAGGGATCCTTCTGGAGGTTCCGGGGCGGCCGAGTTGCTTCGTCTGACTCGTCGAATATGCGGTCGTTTCCGGTGTCTGGGAGGGGGAGAGGGAACAACAACATGGACGGGCACACTTCACTTCTGCCACATCACTAATTCCGGTGTACTGTATGTACACAGACGAACACGACGCATTTAGCCCGAGCTTTGTATTCCGAGGAAGCCGTACGTTCGCTCGTCATTTTCAACCACGGATTCAATTTCCAACTATCTCCAACCTCTCCAAGAGCATCTCTTCCAGGAAACGCATGGTTGGTCTGGCAAACTGCGAATCGCCCAATGTCGTAACTTGACCAAGATACGGGCATCTTACCATACGTACACGATACGATACGCGTATTGTCTGCCCGTTGGACCTCCAGCGAGGCCGTCGATCAGGGCCTGTGCATGGCGCCCGCGGGGTGGCTGGTGTGCCTTGTCAGTGGAGCAAGGCCCTGTACCGAATCGCATGTTGGAGGTCATGGTCGCCGGGACCGTTTGCCGATCTCTCTCGCTCTCGACAACAAGTCCGCATCTCCAGGGTGAAGGCAAAGAAGTCACGCTCGTTTCTCGTCTTTTACGAACTCAATCTAGTTTGCTCAGACGAAGCGGTGACGTGACGCTGACCCGCCCTGCTACGTGAAACCGACCCGACCCGAATTGTCGTGTTCCGAACACACGGCGCAACTGATTACGACCGCGTCTTCGTCGTACCTCCCCGCGACGCCGGAATACTGCCGCCAAGAACTGTCTCAGACCACTGTCTGATCCTGAAATAGAAACACTCGGTGGATGCACCACACAGGTTCGAAGCTTTGTGTGACCATTGACCGCAAGTTTGTGCCTAAATCACTACTAAATCACCATAAAATGGCACAGCCTCGGTATCCGTACAGCTAGGCACAATAACAAGTCCCCTGGAACCAATGGACCAACACACGCTGCAGGGCCAAGAGCCAAGCTGCACAAATCCGACCCACGGGCCGCCAACGGCTCACTCAGCACCGTTGGAACGGCCAATCCGGGGCTCACAGGCTGCGAGCTCATTGGCGAGTCCGGCTAGCATAAGGCTACTAATACATACCTACTCTACTAATCCTCACTGATCCTTTGAGCAGAGACAAAAGTCGGTTGGGCGTAATGAGGGACGTGAGATCCACGTACCAACAATTCTCAAGCCAAGCGACAAATCAATCAACCCCCTGCAGAAATACATGACGGAAACGAGCTCCACGCGTTGGCCCGGGATCTCGCTCCCTCGCGATTTGGCGCCGGGTGCGTGCAGAGAGAAAAGTTGAATAAGAATGCCGTCGAGTTCCTTTGCCCGTGACTACGCGTCTTCCGAGAGCCTTCGTCTTCTTATCTTCAGCTTGTCCCAGAGCTCGATGCCGGGTTCTAATTTGGCCCCTGGGACAACAACGAGAACTACAGCAACCGCAGCAACCGCAACACCAACATGGCCAGCGATCGAATACAACAGCGAGTCTTGCTTCCTCAAGCTCCCTTTCTACCAGTTTGGGACCCCCTAGGACCGACGTTCCTCGACACAGAAGCATGCCTATGCGCTCTCCGAACATCGCCCGAACAAGGCAGCAACAGCGCCGCCTGGCAGTGCATCGGGAACCAGACCCAAAACATCTACGCCGTCACCTCGGGCAAGTGGTTCCACACTGCCAATGGAGGCACCAACGTGAACCTCTCCATCAACGATGCCTCCAACCCGCCACAAACCAGCAGGCCGCTCCACTTCAACGCAAATGCCCAAGCCTTCACACCTCTTACCCAAGAGAGGAGAAGCTCCATGACCATCTGGGATCGTCATTGTACCGCTGAGAACAAGTCGACCTTCTCCACCGCTTTCTACCGCTCCTGGAGAGCCTATCAGCGGGATGAAGTTCCCATCGACGGTTTCCCCTGTTGGCGCCCTGATGCTCTCTTGCTACCCGTTCGTCTGCAGTCCCCCGAGGACTGGTTGAAGGACGGCTGCCGGGAAGGCTTTCTCTGTACGTTCGCATTTGCCCTTTTTCTGTCCCTTTTCTTTTTTTTTCTTTTCTCCCTCTATTCTATCCACATTGTACTGACGTCCACCTCTTCCCCCAGGCGCCAACAATACCGTCAATTCTCTACCACAATACTGCCCACCCCTCACCCAATGCCAGCAGGCGAGACTCGTCGGCGAGGCATGCGTCTTCGAGGGCCGGAACGTTGGCATGGGCCCCTTCGAACCCATTATCTGCCAACCGGGATGGTACTGCCCGAAATCCAGCAACGGCAACGTCACCCTTCCGTGCCCGGCCGGATCATACTGTCAGCCCGGGGCCGCGACACCCACTCCTTGCGCCTTTGGCAGCTCATGCCCAGAAGGCTCCCAAAACGAGCTCTTCCTGATACCCATTGCTCTTCTGGGCCTGATCGACCTCATCGTCCTCGTTGCCCTTCTCTTTTTTTTCTTCCGCAAGAGGTCGAAGAAGAAGAGTCAGGAGAAGACGTCCTCATCCGAACGGGCCCTGCATGTTCCCTTCCTGGGCGGCAAACCCAAGGGGATGAGCGACGTCAAAGCCGCCATCACCGGTTACCGGCAAATCGACGACGAAAACGAAGACGGAGATCACGAGATGATGCCGCTGGAAGCCACCTACATGCCGGGTCGTGATGGGTGGACGGGTTTTCAGGCCGCGCTGGACGACGACATCCCCGCGCTGCGACGAGCCGACACGATCAACCCGCAGCTCAAGTCTTTCATCGAGTCGATGCAGAAGGCCACAAACGCCATCGACCTCGGCTTGTCCTTCACCTACGACAACCTCAGCTTCCATCCCAAGTCCAGTCCTCGGCCCATCCTGCAGAACGTGACCGGTTCGATCCATCGCGGTTCGCTCGTCGCCGTCATGGGCGGCTCCGGCGCCGGCAAGTCCACCTTCGTCAACGTGCTCATGGGAAAGACGACCAACACGGGTGGCTCCGTCACCGTCAACGACATCCCGGGCAAGATCAAACGGTACAAGAAGATCATCGGCTACGTGCCCCAGGACGACATCGTCCTTCCGGAACTCACCGTCTACGAAAACATCGTGCACTCGGCCAAGGTCCGGCTGCCGAGCTCGTGGCGCGATGCCGAGATCGAGGCCCACGTCGACTCGGTCATCGACTGTCTGGAACTCTCGCACGTGCGCGACTCGCTCGTCGGCAGCGTGGGCAAACCCGTCATCAGCGGCGGCCAACGCAAGCGCGTTAGTATCGGAATGGAACTGGCGGCAGCGCCCATGGCCATCTTCCTGGATGAGCCCACGAGCGGCCTCGACGCCACGGCCGCGTCGTCCATCATGCGCACCCTCAAGGCCCTGGCCCGTCTGGGCATCTCGGTCATCGTCATCATCCACCAACCTCGCATGGAAATCTTCGAGATACTCGACAGCCTCATCCTGCTCGGCAACGGACAGACCATCTACGAAGGACCCGAAGCCGATGTGCAGCGCTACTTTGAGGGCATAGGCTTCCAGTTCCCGCCGCACGTCAACCCGGCCGACGTGGTGACCGATATCATCACGGGCAACGGCCGCACGTACAAGAAGATTGGCGACATTTCCAAGGACGCCCTAATCTCTCACTGGGCCGCCACGCGCAAAGCCCGGACGACGTTTGGAGTACCGGAAGGCCAAGGCGGAGAAGACGCCGACGCCGAGGCTGACGACGACCGCCGCTCGCCCCTCTCGGTCACGCCGTCTGATACGCGATCCAACCGTAAATCCCTCCGCATCATCCTCCGACGCCGTGGCGCCACCCGCGTCAACCAAATCTGGCTCTGTCTGCGCCGCGCGATGCTTCAGCAATACCGCCTCAAATCCGCCTTCTTTTTCGAGATGGGCCTCGCCGCACTGGCCGGCTTCCTCCTCGGTCTCGCCCAACAACCGCGGGGCGGCGTCCTCTTCACGGGGTTCTACCTGCCCCCGTACCAGGACCTCTCCCTCTCCGTCAACCTCGGCGGCGCGTCCCAGCTGCCCCTCCTCAAAGCCATCGCCATCGGTCTCATCTGCGGTGCCCCGGGCGTGAAGGTGTTCTCGGAGGAGATGCTCCTGCAACGGCGCGAGGCCGAGGCAGGCCACTCCCGACTGGCATACTTCCTGGCCAAGACCATCTCGGTCCTCCCGCGCCTTCTGCTGGGGTGCCTGCACTTCACCACCCTCGTCTTCATCCTCGCGCGGCCCGTCATCCCTTGGGGCATCGGGCTCGCCACCAACCTGCTGTACTTTTATAGTATCTATGGGTTGGCGAGCTGCGTGAGCATGGTCGTCCGTCGCGAGGACGCGCCCCTCATGTCCACCATGACGAGCCTGGTCGTCGGTCTCCTGTCGGGCGCGGCGCCGTCGCTGGCCAGCGTCAAGAGGTGGCGGCTCGAGTGGCTCTGGCGCGCGTCGCCCGGCGTTTGGTTCGCCGAGATCTATTTCAGCCAGCTGGTGGAGCCGTTTGCGTACCTTTACAACGTTGAATGGGCGGCTGCTGTCATGGGGTATTCCCTGGGCAACCTTACGATGAATATGCTGGTTTTGTTGGCCATTGGGACTGCGTACCGACTCATTGCGTTTGCCCTCCTTTTCGTAGGAAAGCGAATGCGTGTGTGATCTTAATCTGGGTCACTGACAGCTGTTTCTTCTTTATGACGGTCGCCGTTCCGCCGTTTTCATACCCACCTTGCTGCCAATCTTATCCCAAGACATACTGGCGGAATATCTGTCCAACATGTTATATTATGTAGCCTGCCGTGAACGAGGGCACCATGTATAGCTTACGAGACCACACGACAAAGACTTCTCCATGATCCTATCCTGGCTCGCTACCGTCTGAAGCATATCAAGCGTTCTCCCACTACGACAGTAGATCACCGTTGGCACCGGAGTTTGTCGGATGTAACTAACACCATGGGTGGTGGGCATTCCCCGTCGCCGTGTGATTGAACCAATATCACATCACACCTTGCCGCGCCATGTTTGCGAGAGGCGGCTTCTAACTGAGGTTAGATTTCGACTGCCCACTCGCATGCATACTCAGATAAACGGCTGTGCAGGCGAGACGAGGATCTAGCTGCTTACACGTGTTCTCTGAAGGTGCGTCAAGAGTATCGCCTTGCTGTGAACGCTCCCCGCATGTGAGTTCGATCACGCCAGAGTTGGCATGGATGAGTTGACCCAGTGCTGGGCTTGCGACTTGACGGGGGTCCCAGTTGAACGACGCGCAAAAGGACGAACTTGCTCTGCTGATTGCCGAGCGAGGGGTTGTCGTCTTTCGGGATCAGGATTTCAAGGATATTAGTATTGGAAGCAGAAGGAGCCTAGGGGCTACTTGGGCCGTTGCACATTCACGTATGTCTTCCTTTCCCTCCTTCCCCCTTTCCCCCTTTCCCCCTTTCCCCCTTTTTCCTAGTACCGTCCGTATCTAGCCCATCCCCTCCTCGAACACTAATGTACTGGGAGTATCAGACGCATATGCTGATGGACACACACTTGTAGCCGGTCGGAGCACATGTCAAAGAGCACCTCGAACTGCACAACATCTACCTGGGTCCAGACAACGAATACCGCAACATCAACAAGTTGAACAAGCTCACGACAGTAGGCTTCCACTCGGACGCGTCGTACGAACACCAACCGCCCGGCATGAGCGTCTTAGACAGCGGGGTACGCACGCCTCTCGGAGCCGCTTCAAAAAGCTCCTGGAGGGTCTCCGAGCCGAGCATAGCGGGTATCCTGAGGCGGAGGGTGCGAGGAGGAACGGCAAGTTTGTGAGGAGGGGGCCGGTCAAGTCGGAGCATCCTGTTGTTCGGGTTCATCCGGTCCGTTTTCTCCTCCGCCTCAGCTGTCTCTATGGAAATGTATCTGTGCTAAACTGTCGAATGGCCACGGGTCAAAGGGCGCTGTTTGTCAACCCTGGATTCACCAAGACGGTCTACGCCACGGGTTCCGTATTACCACGCAGGCTGATAAACCTGTGGGGGCTTGATGGACTCGAGTCAACTTGGTAAGAGAGTGCTGTCGAGTAGTATTACTGGGCCTGGTAAAGGACTAGGATATATTATGATGATATGCGGCTCTCATGCTATTCCTACATGTTACTTTTCGCGGCTGGGCACTAGTTGTCTCGTGAGACGGACCCTTTTCTCTATCGTCTCAAGCTTACTCTTCCGCGACAGCCCTGAAAGTGATGAGACCGCGAGCCGGCAGCTCGGCCTTGACATAACCATCCTCATCGACCTCAACCTCAACCTCCTCAATATCGTGGTCCTCATCCGTGAGCCAGGCCGTGACCTTGCCCCAGCCCTTGTTTCTATGCCTGCAGCTAATGAGCTCCAAGCTGACCGTCTCATCATGGTAGTGGGGGTTCAGGATAACAACAACGAGGCTGCCGTCCTTGTTCTCGAAAGCCGAGGCGCTGAGGTCCCCGCCGCGGGTCTCCACGCGGTAGGCATCGGGACGGATGTAGCGGGAGTAATGGGCGAAAGCCCAGGTGCGCTTGGAGAGGAAGTACTCGCCGTCCTCGACCATGATGAGCTTCTCGTTGTTGTTGTCGTTGGTGGCCTCGTCCTGGACCACCAGCCACCAGAGGTAGGCGTTGACGTTGCCGACGGTCAGGGCGCGGTGCAGGATGCTGGCCCAGCGGTAGCCGTCGCCGCGCGAGACGCCGCTGTCCCAGGCCGCGGTCCACCGGTCGTTCAGGTCGCAGTACTCCGACTGCCAGACCGAGAGCGAGGTGTCCAGCGGCGCGTCGATGGGCGAGGTGTACTCGTGCCCGGCCCAGGTGGTCAGGAGGTGCTCGACGCCCAGGGCTTGGATCTGCGAGACCATCTGCTGGGTCGCCTGCCAGCCGGTCTGCTCGCAGCAGGAGATGCCGACGTCGAGGCCGGCGTCCTCGAGCGTCTTGTGCAGGATGGGGAGGAAGTCGGCGACTTGCTCGGCGTTGGAGCGCATCGAGGCGTAGGAGGTGCTAGACGGTTGTTGTTGTTAGTTGAGCAGTTCATGTCGTCAAGTGGAACCGCGCACGGTTAGGGAGTGAGGGAGGAGACATGGAGGTGAAGGCAAAACTCACGTCAGGTCAGGCTCGTTGAGCCATGCGACATCGCTAATCTTGATACCCTCGGCGGCGTAAATCTGGATATACTTGACGAGGTAATCGGCATAGGCCTGACGCCAGTCGTGCTCGCAGGCACTATTCCCATCAAAGCTCCCAGGAACGCCGCACAGCAGGCCGCCGTTCGCATCGTCGGCGTTGTTCTTCATGAAACCCGGAGCGCTCCAAGCATTGGCGTAGATGCGCTCGACGCCGTACTCGACGGCCTTCTTGGCGAGGAAGAGCTGACCCGAGTCGTACTCGTCCCAGACGTAGTTGAACTCGCCGTCGGGGGAGCCGGGGGACTCGGGGAGGATGGTGTTCATCCAGTCATTGTAGCTCGAGTTGGAGGAGCCGATGCCGTTGCGCAGGATGGAGAAGCCGATGCCGGTCTCGCGGTTGTAGATGAGGTCGAGGAGCTCCTGCTGGACCTGGTCGGTGACGTTGAGGAGGAGCTGGGCGCGCTGGAAGGCCCCGGAGAAGCCGAAGCCTTCGATTTGCTGATGCTTGATGTCCGGGCGGATCTCGATCTCGGTGACGACCGTCTCGTTGGCAGGGCAGTCATCCAGGGGACGAGCAGCGGCCAACGGGGCCAAACTGGCTACCGCGGCGATGAGGGAAGCGGACCGCATGATGGGGAGGTGAGGTAGAAGAGAAAGTTGGAAAAGGGGTGGGGGGTGAGAAGGAGATCAGGGGTTGAGATGAGAAGAATCCCACGGATGAGAACTTGTCAAGCAAGCTGGCCCTGGAAATGGGTTCTTGTGATTCAATGGGGCGTAGTGTCCATTATATAGGATAGTACGTGGACCCTGGAGAATGTGATTCCATGGACCATGGTACCAACGCAGTAAAGCATGCAGGCCAAGAAGATGCATGTGCCGTGGAGCTCCTGGATAAATTGGACTTCTGGGGAAAACGCGTACAATGAGTGTGGTGATTGGAATTTCTGGGGAGAACTTAGAAGACAGGGGCTCGAAGCAGATTGAGTCCTCTGGTTGGTGATATGCACTGATGCTTGATGCTTCCCGGGGTCCGGACTCTGGAGCAGCGAGCTGAGCAGCCTGCTTGTAAGCTCACGGTGCTCACCTCTTCACGGTGAGAAGCTCTGCATCCTTCGTTCGTTCCCCCGTCTGCCGGACGCCACCCCCGGACCCCGGTCATACCCCCGCCTTCTACCCCTCCAATTCCAAGCTTCTCCAACTCGTCATGCCTTGTAATAGGTAAAGGATCGGCCTCCCCACAGCTCGGCACACTGCCGAGTTCTCGACACCCCAGCAACGGCGGGGACTCGGACTTCAGCCTGAAGTTGTTGACCACTGTTCCAGGAAATGAACCTCACGGCATGCGTCCATGCAAGGGCCGGTCCCCATCCGCTCGAATCGTAGACGGCTGAGCTGTTAGAACTTAGTATTGGGCTCGCAATTGGTTCCCCCTGGTTTCTCCGAACCCAGAGTGGGATTACGACGACGTACGTGGCGGTCATTTGTCCGGTGGTCTCTCTACACGTAAGGTCCCATTCTCTCTTCGCAGCGGGAAAAGAGAGCTAGAAAGAACCCAGAAGCATACTGGTGAAGTCATGAATGGTATAACCGCCTTGGCATCCAGGAACCCACGTCTCACGGACTTCGAGGACCCCAGGGACAAGAAATTCCATCAATTAAAACGGAGCAATCGGGTCCAAGAATGCAGTCTGTATTTACATGTATGCTCTCCATGTGGTTGACATCTTCGTCCAACGGTCCAGTGAAGTCCCAGTTACCGGGTTGTTGTTCCAGTAGGAAACCACTCATCGCCACCAGCCGTCAGCCATCAGGGCCATCTCAGGGTCATAGACGCTCCTGAGCCTCTTCTTAGCGTGTAAACGAGAGACACGATGTATAAATCCGTCAGGATTACACCCAGACGCTAATTATCTTAAGAGACTCTCGTGACCGCTTGGCATACCTAGCCCCTGACTCCCTGTCGAACTCGACATCATGATGGCTGTGTATTTTACCCGGAAAGTCTTGTTGGAATTGCAAAACTGTCCCGCCGGGGTCTTGTTGGACTTTACTTATCCGGTTCCAGCAATGGATTACCAAGGCCCTTGACTTGATATCTGAAGCGTGAGTGTTCTTGTCCAACAAGTGACGATCATCGGAGACCACTGTCAAGCCGCCAAGTGTCACGTAGATCTATGGGAACAAGTCAGATGAGTGCAGTGCGATATATGACGTATCGTGTATGTACGAGTAAGAAGTGTATACATTTGATATAATAAAGAATATCCCTTTCCTAAGCCAACAGTCTCCCCTCGATACCACGATCTCCTAGCATATGACTGCCTACCAACCCCCTATTCCATGTCACGTGCTCAGAAAGGGGGTGGTGGTGTGAATGTTATGCGGCATGCCTTTGATCGTGTTGTTCGAGAAGCGGTGATAGCTCTAAGCTTCACCAAGCTTCAGGCGCAACTTCTTAAGCTGTTATGGCACCATACAAGTCAGCAAAAGTCATCCCCCGAAAGACGATATGAATAGGAGAGTCACTAGTCACTCACCCTGGGCATAGGTGGAGCCGATGGGACCGAAGCGAATGTCAGAGAAGACAACAGTAGCACCGGGGTGGGCAGCAACGAGCTCAGTAGGCGAGCGGTTGTCGGGCGAGCAAGGCCCACGTACGGCGCCCGGGCCAGTGTCGTCGATGGGGTAGGTGGAGTCGAGCCAGAGCATGTTGGCGTAGGCGTCGGACCAGATGGACAGAGCGAGGACCATGCCGTTCGCGAGGGCCTCGCCCATGCCGGCCATGCCGCCAAAGTCGACGAACTGGTTGTGATCCTCCTCGAAGGCGGTCTTCTGGCTGGCGCAGAACTCGTCGTCGAGCGTGCTGCCCGGGTTGCCCTCGACGGTGGACTCGGAGTTCTGGATCACCTCGCCGCCCTGGATGTAGTAGCGCGAGATCTCCGACAGGGAGCCGCCGCTGGCGTGGAACTGCGTGACCACCGTGATGGGCTGCGAGCTGTCGATGGTGAAGCCGGACCCTTCGCCGTAGTACTCGGTGTTGCCCTGGCGGTAGGGGTTGAAGTCGCAGCCGTCGGCGTCGCAGGAGCCGCCGTACCGGTCGTCCGAGAAGGTGCCGCCGCAGTTGGGGTCGGTGCAGGAGTGGTAGGCGTTGTTAGAGCAGGGGTGGGGCGTGTAGGCCGTGGCGGCGTTGTTGGCCTCTGTTTTGCTGTCAGTACATGTGCTGTTCTTGCACAAGGTAGGCTGAAGAGAGAGAGAGAAAGGGTAAAGGAAAGTAGAGAAACTGTAAACATACCCCACAAGTCCATCTCAGCGCAGCAGGCTCCCATGTTGCCGATACCGACATCAGGGGTCTCGGGGCTCCAGCCCTCCCAGCCCTCAACGTTGGCCTAGAGTTTCCAAGTTGTCAGTTGAGCCTTGAGATCTAGAGATAGTGGGGGGAAACCCATTCAGAACTCCGGAGGAAAACACTCACAATGCCGTCGATCCACTTAAGATCACGAGCGCACTGGGCATCGCAGTAGCCAGTACCGTACTTAGCGCCAGCGGCGTTAGTAGGGAACTTGGAGCTACCACCATCGGCATCCATGGAGATGAAGTAAAGCGCGCCGTTAAGACCGCAAGGAACCTGCGACGAGTCGACGGTGAAGGAGAACTCGCTGTCGAGGAGGTTGAACATCTGGTACTTGCTCTCGGACTCCATAAGGTAGATACGGGCGCCGACGTTGGTGCCCGACTCGTTCTCGGTCACGAGGCGGATGCTAACCGAGTCGCCGCTGGCCGTGATGCCGTAGGTGGCCTCGTAGTCGGCGCCGTCGACGCAGCAGTTGGCCGCGCAGGTTTCGCCATCCGGGCAGAGGGAGTCGTCCCACTCGGCGCCGGTGTAGCAGTTGTCGTAACCCTCGACGGTGTGCGTCCAGCGCCAGTTGGAGTCGATGACCAGGCCGCTCGTGACTTGGCTGCAGGTGCCGCCTTCGCTGCACTGGCTCCAGGTGATGGAGGGGTTGTTCTCCGGGGTGACCGAGCAGGCCTGCTGAGCGGCAGCTCGGGTGGCGGCCAGGGCGGCCAAGAGGATACCGAAGTTGGTCTTCATCTTCAAGACTGTGATGGGAATAGGCTAGGTTTGGTTGGAGATGGTGGGATGGAGAGAGAGGAGGGATGAGGACCGGATATCTTCGAGGGAAAGGGTGTTTTATAGAGAAATTTGACGCTGATGTTCGAGCAAGTCGGACCCCTGAATGGATATCTTCCTTCCTGGGATAGAATGCCAGTTATGGCCCATGTGTAGCGGATGATGAGGTTCCTAGCGGTAAATCTATCAGACTATCATCTTGCCGTCTCCCATGCATCCTCTGGAGCCGCCGCCACCAGGAACCAAGCATCAGGTAGATCATGTCCTTACCTGTCGATTTTCACGTCCCGGAGGCTTTCTTTGCGGGGAGTGTTGAGAGGGAAGGACGGCAGCCGGGCCGTTGATGCTATGCTCAGGCTTTCGAGGTCGGGGTTCTTCATATTGATGTGGTCACGGAGGCAACTGAAGAAAGTAGGGATCGCCGATGAACCGTTCACAGTCGACGACTTGCCATGGAAATACGGTACAGCAAAATCTATGTGGTGTCAAGTCATCTTCTCGCCCTCTGTAGCTGTGGGGAAGCGTAAATCTTCCGACTTCCCCGTGGGGAGAAGCCGGGGGACGGACATATGCACTCGGACGGCCGCCGTAAGCCGCGTGGATAGTGAAAAGAATAGATTAAGCTACCCCATAGAAGCCATTGTTAAAGACCTGACGGACAAGGAGGAGGCCTATAGAGCGCTCTGGTAAATTGAAGGGCCCCGAATTGGGCGCCACACTGTCGATCATTACGTCTTTCTGGGCTTGGGAGCTATCGAAGGCCCTCAGTCCAGCTGAGCAGTGAGATGAGGTTAACGTGCCGGTCAAAGTGCAAATGACTGGGAGAAGAGTAGGAGCTTCTTTTCTGACAGTGTCGGATGTTAGTATCGAATATCTACTTCGTACGGACAATAGCGAGCTTGGGGAAGACAGCACAGCGATAGGATAGGGGCTTCTTCTTCGCGTCGGAAGATGCTGTCACGATGGGACCCTGCGGACTGCCATTCTACCGTTTCCTACTCCGCCAATCACAGGGGTACCCGTTCCAAGCCCACATCTCCGAGTGCCGCTGGCGGGGACATCAAGGAGAGAAGAGAAAAGGGGCGCTCCCGAGTCCCGACTCCCGAGCTTCCCCCCACATGATGCTATATCTCCAGATACTGTGGCGTTCGGGGAACTTCAGCCTCTTGTCTGGGGAAGTAAGACCCAGTTGTTCGTTTCCCCTATTTTATGTCCTTTTTTTCTTCCTTTTTTTCCTTGTTTGCTGTTTTGTTTTTGGGTGATATACTGTCGGTGTTGACGTTCCATCACGTTCATCTACCCCTTGCACCACGACAGAGCGTCCAGGTTACAGTCCTACACCTATAACCCATGTCATACCAGGTTGTCCTACCTCCAGTCCTTCGCATACGCAACGAGGATTCTTGACCTGTGCTGATGCTATGGTTTTCTGGTTCGATGTCACCCCTTACCAACCCAAGTGGCCCGAGTCCGTTCTCAACTCCCGAACTTCAACCACGGCCGCGACGATCCATTGCCCGATCCTCTCCCTTCTCCATATGTGTATCTCGTATCTCCGTAGCCAAAATTACCTTCACTCTTCAGATTCAGGTTGGTTGAATGATGATCTTTCCCTGAAGCTTTCCTCAACTTATACCCCTTCATCCACCCCAGTGCACATGCGTCTTGCATCCACAGATCGACATTCTCACTGCCCAGTGAGGTGATCAGTAGCCGAGACGAACAGGATGAGTGACATCTTTTTTTTTTTTTTGGTAACAAGAGCTGACGATCATGCCCCAAAGGAGCCGCCCAATCCGTTGACAAACTTGGATTCCAGGCTCAGTCAGGAAGGAATTCATCGCCTTTCCCAAGTTCCCAACTTCCTGTGCTGCCTCCGTTGATATAACATCAGGGGTCATCGTCAATGAATTGTATCAACTGTTGCCACACACGTGAAGGGACCAGACCCTACCCAGCACTGAAAAGAGGATACATGTATGATATGCAGAGACGCCACAAGCGCTACTAAATGAACATTAAATCATTCGATGGATTTCGGACATGGTCAACTTGAACCCTGTAATGGGACTTGACAGCTTGCGGAAGACGAAGCATCCAGGACCCCACGCTCGGCGCCGCCATTCGCCCGAGGGAATACTAACCCGGATCTAAAATATCCAAACGTTGAATTAAGCGCCTCATATTTCCGTTCCAAGGTGCGGTCAGAGTATCCAGCCGCTACTCCCGGATGGCAACCTCAAGTTCCACTCCTCAATATCAGACAGCCAGATCAATAGACGACTAGCGCCCATCTCGTAACAAAACTTGGCACTTTCGGCTAACAAGCCGACCGGCATACGGTGCCTGGCGGCAGCCTGTACGGCATAGACCCTTGGGTGTGTATACGTATGCCTTACTAGGGGAACTTTTCGCCTCGTTCCCGTCCCTTTCGCGCGTCCTTGGAGTAACCCCTCCTCTGATTCAGGTAGATATTTCCGGTATCAGAGTGAGAGCACGACGTCATAAGGGCTATTTACTACGGTTTTGCTCCGGTTCTTCCGCAGGCTATACGGTCCTTCTTAGTGCCTATCCGTCGTTCTGCCGGATATATTCCTCTTCTATGAGTCCGATTGTCTAAACTTTCACCTGGGCCCTGGCTGAGGGAGGCCCGGCCAGTAAATCTGGAGGTAACAGCCTGAAAAGAAACAGTGTAACACCTGGTAACCTTAGATATCTGGGTATTAAAGATACAGTACCTATCGGTCGGAGCAACTGTCTTGGCTCACCAGGCTTCTACGTGAAGGTACGCACATGTAACTCTAAATCTTGACTTTGAGAGTTGGTGTATGATTATATCAGATCTTAAGGATGCTGAACATGAAAGGTTCTTATCAATCACAGACCGTTCGAGTCCATGGGCAAACGATGTGAGACATTATAGCCCAAGGTCGAGGGCGAACAAAGTGAGTGCTGTATGCTGTCAGTACCAAAAGGTTGGAACTACGGCCCTCAACTTCAGTGCCCTGGTAGTATCGGGGAAGACGAAGATAGGGGCATAGGATACAAGCCAAACTTCAGAATTCGATCACCAGTTTCAGTCAACTTATGAAGCCCGATGAAAACTGATGAAGTTGAAAACACCACTAAGTAGTCGGGGTGTCGGGAAGTTCCCCTTCTGAGACTATCCTGAACTCCTTACAGACGCGCACGTAAGCGGCGTTATATCCAGTTAAGGGCCCTTTTAACATGCCAGAATCAATAAAACACGCTCATAACGCACTCAATACTGTCAAGGTTTGGTATACACTAACTCATTAAAATGGCCCGTCAGCTCCAGACAAGCACATTTTGTTGAGCTGACGATACGACAAGGAGCTTCAACAGGCAAGGATCTACTCAGAAGCGGCTCATTATACACTATATACATATAACTACATGGCGTAGTATTTGTATACGAAAATTCATCACTCATGGCCCCTTATTTGCCTCTTATTCGTACCTCTCATGCAGCATGCCGATCTGGGTTTGCGGAGGTTGAATCCGAGAAGCCTTTGCCTCTTTTGGGTTTCTGGCATCAACCATAAAGATGCCCCTGCCGACGCCACACTGCCTCCAACTCAGCCAACTCGCACCCCGCCACCCCATCACGTCAGCTCTTTGACAGGCTTCAAGTCCGCGAGGGGTTCTCTCCCGATCCTGCTTCATACGTTATCAGACCCTTTGAATGGCAGTTATCTAGACTAGAAGCTAAAACAAGAATGGAAGGTCGAATCCTCCGAGTGTCCCTCTTCGGATGGGAAGCATGTTATGTAATCCTGACTCCTAGCACTCTCTTTTGTTGTTGTTGTATTCTTTGATGTCTGTGATATCTCTGTAGAAGAGCAAAGGACGCCCTACGCTAAGTAACTAAGCTAGGTACATGAAAAGGAGAGGAAGATTTCAAATCGAGGGATCTTCGTTTCGGGCTGGGTATATCTTCGTTATTATATTTCTACCGATAGATATAAAGGGGTAGGCGGGCTCCCGAGGTGTCAAGCACCCACGAAGCTTTCACTCCTAGCACTTTCATGTCTCATAAGTGGTAAGGTCAGATGCAAAACAGCAGAAGCAGTATAATATCAATACCCTCGTAGGCTATCTGAGTACCGCAGACTCCAACACTTATACATCATGAATATGGGTGGGACAGGGCAACGTTCAATATCTTCTAGTTTGATGAAACCGAGGTTGAGTCAGTTTAGGCTCAACATTAGCTCTCACAATAGCGATAAGTCACTACATCACCGAGCCGCAATTTGTGTGGCGAGCAAGACGATACACCGCTGTGAACTTATGTATATAAGGATTAGCCTTTTTGTATTTGCGTGGATACCAGACATATCAAGGTGGACGAACGCCGTTATAAGACTGGGTGTCCGGCATGACGAAGTGACGAAAGTGTTCCTTAGCAGATCTTGATTGGCTGAAGAGATGTCTTAGTTTCGCTCTGAACTCGAGCTCTTTATGCCTGCTGAGGTCTTACGTCTCTGTTTGGGGCCTGTTGGCAATGGCTTTCAACGTATCAGGTCAAATATGACGAAAAGTCTAATAATGTGTGTATATAAGTACAGGTTGATTACCAGTAATACAACAAGGTTATAACATGCGTTTCTCTTATAGGGTCTCTGAATTTATATTTAGTATTGGCTAACCTTTAATCAAACCAACTCTAAGTTGGCATCCACTTAACAGCTCTTCTGACCATGAACACACTAATGTGGACGCCATGGAACTTAACACGAGCAGTGCTTCTCCAAGTTCTTAATTCAATATATCTTGGATGGTTAATAGTCGTCTATGCCTATTACTATTGCCTACTAAGGAGCCTTATATGCTATTACAAAGTGGGGAAGAGTTGGGGGCCCTGAAGCCTTACTGGAACTCGACTACAACAATACGAATCCCTCGATAATTACAAACTATTCAGCAACTGAGGTTAGGGGAGTTCCAACATATATCAAACAAGATCTGGATCTGGACTCTATTGACATTGTGATTCGAGGTCAATCTCTTTAGCTCCTGCGTGTCTCCTTTGGGCAGGTCATAGAAAGACGTCGGTAAGAATCGCCATGGCCCCAATTCTTCACATTTTGATTACGTCTTTGGAGAAGTGCAGTAATCAAGCTATTGGTGCTGACCCCTCGAGGCAGCTCCTACAACAGGTACGACACAGAAACCTGTCATGCGAGTGTCACAGCAAGACTGACAACAAACAAGACATGGCTCCAACAGAGACGTTGAAGAACCTCGTCAATAACCACGTTCTTCAGGCTTGGAGAACAGACTATTCTTCACGCATAACACAACTTTGTAAGATGTCCAGGGGACGAAGAGACGCCAGCTCGCTGTCATAAAAATCGTATTTTCGCTGTGCGTGCCGCGTATATACAAAGCAATAAAGCACATTACGCTTGATAATGCATCTTTGCAGCAACGAGGCATCCTGCCTTCGCGCCGAGAAATGTACCTATGAAAGTGTGGCCAAGTCACAAATCCACCCTTCAGAAACGTGAACCTTACAGTGACGACAACCACCACAGGCCATCAAAGAAGGATTCTCAGATGACCGGCCCCTGGAGAATCCAATGCGGAAGTGGCAGCAGCACTATCTACCATGGATGTCTGACTGGGTGCTGATTTAGCAGGACCCGACGCGGCCACCAGGAGGACTGAAAGAAAAGTACAGTTAGCATGATACGTGCGAGAATCTCACAGGACGTCTACTTACGTGTAAGAAGTGGGAACGGGCCAGTAGATGTTGATGAGCAGGCCGGGGTCGTTGGGGCTGTAGGCGCCGGGGAAGCTGAGCATGCCAGCAGGGCGGTAACCACCGCTGCCGCCCTGGACGTTGATCTGGGCGCAGCTCAGGCTGGTTAAATTGTTAGCACTTCAGATTCGCAACTAGAAACCGATGAAAGCTGAGGGGAAGGGAGAATTACTAAAGCTGGGCACCGCCGGCGTTGGAAGCGCTGTGGAGGGCAATGTGCTCGAAGCGGAGGAGGTACTGGCCGTTCTCAAGGCACCTGGGGAGAGGGACAGAGACGGAGTTTTGGTCTAGATAAGGAAAACGTTAGTTAGCCGCGGTTTCCATAGTTGCTAGTCGAGGATTAAAGTGAGATGAACGTACTCATGGTGGGCCAGGTGATGCCACCGCCGCTGATGATGGCGTTGTCTTGCCAGATCTTGAACCAGACGGCACCCTTGCCGTCCCAGGTCGAGGCGCTCTGGCCGGCGGGGACCCTAGCGAGGTAGGCAATGGAAGGACCGGGGTGGAAGATGGTCGGGCTGGAGTTGACGGCTACGCAAGTGTTTCGTCGTTAGTCTTTAGGTTCTTTTGGCAGTTGAGAGTGACAAGAGCGAGTCGGGGGAAAAGGGGGGGATTTTGCAAAAGGGGTATACTGACTGACGGAGCTGCCAGCCTGAACGTTCATGACACCGGAGGGACCGCGGCCCGGAGACAACTCGTAGCAGGTCATGAGATCGCTGTAGACGTTCTCAATGGGGCCAGTGTGCTGGTGGTTGACAGTCTGGCGGACATATTGCCAGTTGCCCGAGTTGTTGATGGAGGGGAAGATGTCTATGTTTTCATGTTAGTTGTTTTCAGCCCTAAAACGATATGCGTATACGAAATAAACAGTGAGGTCTCGTTAAAGATTGCATGTGGTCCGTGGATAGGGATGAACGAACAGTGAGCCGAGACGGCCTGGAGGAGCGCCAGGGGCGCGAAAGCGGAGAGGAACTTCATGGTGATCTGGGGTTCGGAGAGAATTGAAAAGAACGCTGATCAGGGACTCGATTCAGAAGAGAAGAAGCTTGGGTAGTCGATCCTTTCCAATTCAGAGCCTCGACGGACGATGGCCTTCACTTATAAGCTCTCGGAAATATGGGGAGCATCCCCAGAAAGGCAGAGAGGCCCCATGGGCGATGGCATCGCGCCCCATTCTGATGGAAAGTACGGGGAAGGAAACCGGATAATATTCATGTATGGGTCGGTTAATTCTGCACGCCGCGGGATAAAATGACAACAGCCATTCATCGCCTTCGTATTTCTCTTGACCTCCGTTCTAGAAACACTCGTGTCCGCTTGGGAACGAATAACGACACTGCCATGTGATCTGAGGTAGCATCACGACAAAGTTCGGAGTGTCCAGAAATGGAGCGGACATGGCCTCCGTATTGCCGAATTCACGGCACGGAATAGTGGAATCATGGGGTAGGGTAGAAATCTATCCACCACGCATCCACTATACTATCCAACCGCTGTTGGGCTCCGTGATCGAAAACAGGTTCTTCCGGCGAAACCGGTCATTTTCTTCTGCTTTTTTTACTTCAGGTCGAGACGTGTGCGTCATGATTCATAACGCACGAGGACCTGACAAGCCTGCCGCTTTTCATGTAGCCAGTTGAGGCCTTCATTCCGTGGGACGGGATCCTATGTGCTGTGCTGGTGCTTGACGGATATTCAGTCCCGTAACTTCAAGGAACTCTTAATCAAGTCGAGACGAAGACAATTACAGAGACCCCAGTGCCATAATCTTGAGAAAACCAATAAGGGTACGCTGTGCTCCTAATAAGGCTTACCCTTGTGCGGATCAAAGACACAGAGGCTTCGGCACTTGGACTCCTGCTGCAAGCCGTTGTGGGATGGCAGGGATTGATTCCTCGCTAGGCGAATATTCTACGTCAGTGATTCTGACAGATTCTACCAGGTAGTACTGTGTCGTAATATAAAGGAGAATTATACATTTCATTATGCATTTCCATTCGGTTCATACCTGTATTTGCCACGGTGATGGGATTGGGTTGGCATGACACCGGATTGGGGATCGGGAACTTGGCGTTGTCCTGGGTGAAGGCTGAAGCGTTTGGTATTAATTAACCGGCAGAGTGTGTCACGGAGGTGCATTATACTGATTAGGAAGCGCTTATATCTCGGGTATAAAGAGAAAAAATCATATCTTGTGACAAGATTCTTCATCATATATGATCAAATATATTCGATGGATTTCCCGGAACCAGTCTCAGGCTCTCAACCTCCCAGTTAAGGGCTTGATGCGGCCCAAGGTTGGTCCTATATTGGTCCTATATTGGGACAGACTTCAATACTCTTTGCGCCCATTGTGTCCTATAAAGGGTGAACCCCTCAGCTTGGCTCACACCCCTCAACCAAGACAAATGTCGCCTCTCTTCCCGTTGTTCCGGCCACTCCGTGCGAACATGGAGAGAACTGACTTACACCTTGGCGACGAGGCATACTCAACCAATACCATCCTCAACTAATAATACCAAGTGGCAGCCGGGAACATCGTGCGAGCAACAACACACGTGCCACCTCATCCTCTCTTCATATCTACAGTCGGAGTCCACCCCGTCGTCGGCGTGTGACATGCTTCGATCGTAAAAGGCGACGAAGGCGACACGGTAATATGCTCCCACGTATTCTCCCACGACATGCGACGCTCCGAAGGCCCCAGTTCCGCCACTCGTATATGGTGGGGCTCCGTCCCCCTGAGTTCAGGTTTGACCTTGGCCCTCTCGACAGCGTCTGCTGCTGCTGCTGCTGCGCTGTTTGCCCTCTCTCGAGCCTCTTTTGCATTGTCTCGGTGCTTCAGGATCCGGACCAGCACCCAGCCAAGCAGAATGAGCAGGAGGGCGCCTGCGATGGACCCCACTGCAATACCCGCTGCCATGCTGGGGGTAATTTCCTCTGCGGAACGGCAGGTTGTCGTGGTTGTGTCACTTGTGTGTGTAGCCGCCGAGGGAGGGCGGGATGTTCCGCTTGCTCTCTCGGTAGGATCAGCTTGCATCGGCACGGGAAGATCTCTCGACTGTTTTGTTTCAAGGATGTCCAGTAACCTCGGTCAGCAGGCATGTTCAACGCACGACTATGGATTATTATATATCCAGGAAGAGTCCCGTGACTCCATGTCCGGTCTTACCATCAAAAAATCACCTTCTCTAAACCTGACGTTAATGGCATGGGCCCCCAACAGTCCGCTGCTCATGGTGGTTGTTATCACTTCATTTGACCCAATTTTGGCTTCGGTCATGACCCTGACGGTCGTCTCGGACAGGCTGGACCAGCAGCCCAGAGTCGTCAGCCAGGGCGACCTGCGCAGAATACTCGTCGGGTCATCCGGAGGACATGACCACTGCCAATATACACTGTTCGAGCCGCCGTGTCAGTCCTTTGGCAAATGTCTCAACAAAACGTGATCGTGAAGTGCGGGCTCCATTCATGGTTGAAGCACGTACGCTGGACAACAGACATAAGCTGTCACCGGAGTGTTCGCCTCCATGAGAGTCGAGGAGCAGGCGACCGTATAGTTGGACGGACATACGCCGGGGGAGTAATACGATGTTGAGACCGGAATATAGTCCCTCGGGTAACAAGCTGGTCTTTGGGTATATGGCACACCTTGCTGCATGGACAGCTTGAGAGCTTCCTCTGCGCCACGGCTCTCCATCCAGAAGATATCCGGGTCGAGGCATCCAGTTGCGGCTGGGTCAAATGCCGTTGTGAGGGACCCGAGAGACATGCTGTGTTTATCTTTGCTGTTCGCTAGAAGACCGCATGCAAATAACATGCGGTTGACGATATTGCATTAGCTGCAGCGAGTCTTGTCGGCTGGGCCTTGGTAGAGCTCGAGATGGGGTTCGCCGCGTGGTAAGTGCCGGTGGGACAACGAAAGTTGAGTTGTTCATGACAAAGTTGACAGGTTGAGGGGACCATGATCGTAAAGAATGGAAGCCTTAACGGTGGATACATGTAGATCATAATTAGATCACATCCATGTTGCCAGTTGCTAGGGATGCTATTGCTGGCCCTGGGCCTACCAGAAGAACATATGCATGGGTGCTCAGCCACATGTTCCTGGGGTCCAATGATGGATGCATTAATGGCTATCATGTGTGAGTCTGTCAAGATCTGCTGGCTCGGGCCGAACGACGCATCTGTTTTGGGCTTCCCACCACGCCCACATCGAAAGCGTCATGGAGCTTGGGGGAACAAAGAATATGTCCTTGAAATGCTCAATGCTCATCTCCACACGACAGTTGATGCGACAGGATAGGCACTAGGTGGAAGGCGAAGGGAGAGCTCAGCCACAAGTCACATGTCTAGGAGACAAATAGTATCTTGGGGATCTCTTTGTCCGATGGTGATGTTGGATGCTCTCCCTTGCGTCGTTTCGTCCGGGGTCTGAAGCAGAGAAATCAAGAAGACGAATCACTGGAACCGAAGGAGGTCCAACCACTCTAAAACGGACCTGTCAAATGACATGGACTGTATATATTTGGGTACATGTATTTATAACCATGTCCGGATACACCGAAGACCGAAGTTGTCGTGCTCCCTTCGCTTTGTGGCTTTGGTGGCTGTCACGCCAGCGATATCAGGCGCTTGGCCAAGTCATTGCGCAATCGCCGCCGCAATGCATAGAAGGATCCATGTTCGCTTCTGCAGGAAGTCCAGACAGGAGGCAGACATCATACATGTCCTATTTACCAGATTAGGATTGTGTTTATCTCACGTCTCTAGATCCAGAGGGGCAGAAGTTTTGAATGCCGTTGGCTTCTGGTGGTCTTGTAAAGTGCTCATTTGCTCTTATAACTTATCACCTGCATCAGAACGAGTGTCAGGTTACACAGCCAAACAAGTTGAGCGAACAAATAACGGACTGTGACAATGCGGAAAGGACACGAGTCGACTGAAGAATTGCACAAGTTCTCGGTCCTCGCTGGGCCTTTTATTATTCGTACAACAGAACAATCAATCATGGACACCCGCGTCCGAGTGCCGTTTCCTCTCATGCCATCTCCCATCCCATTCTCCACCGTCCATTGCATCCAATCCAAACCTATCACCGTGTTTGGTCCATACTATTGATTATGCATGCACTTCCTTTCCTGTGCATTGCGTATCGACGCTAGGACGAAACAGTGATCAGTTCTGTGGGCCTCTTGATGTCTTGGGCCCTTTACGGCCGAATCCTAACCGAAAACCGCTGTCAGTTATAGCTAGTTATAGGGCAATACCACCCACCCCGGCCGCCGTATTGGGGATCGCTCGGGCGACAAGGAGAGACTACGGTCGACTACGGTACGCTCGGACATGCGGTCGGACTCGAGGGGCAAGGGGACAAGGTGACAAGGTCTTTGGCCCCTTCTTGGCGCACGCGAGGACTCGAGATGACAGGCCCGTCCGATCGACGCATTGACTTTACCTACTTTTCCCCTGAACGAACGAACGATTGAACGAGGGGTGGCTTTCCCGCTATGGACCTCACCCTTCCCTTGTCCGCGCTGCGAACTGCAGGACGCCGCCCGCTGGACCACGGGTCCACGGGTCTTCTCGATCACGCACGTTTGTTTATATCAGTCATAAACATCCCGATAACCATGGGCGGGAGAAGACTTTTTTCTGCTGTGAACGGCCCGCTGAATGGGAGGTGTCTGGTCCTCGCTGTCCTGGCTTTCGTCTGTTGGCTGTGGGAACTGAACTTGATTAGTATACATCATTTTAGGATCTGCTTCCACAGCGATTCCTCCGGGGTCACGTCGGACTGTTGGTGTTTTGGCCTGGCACAGCACGTGGCTCACGTCTACTGTCTCACCGCAGCCGAGACACCTGCGCCCAAAACGAGAGAAGGAAGACAAAAAGACGACGCATTGCGCGCTTCCAGAGCATGGGCGACTCGTGGCCCCGACCACCTGGTTTACCTGGTTCTCCGCCAGGCATCGGGCCTGGTTCTGGACCACCTGGCCCCTGGCCGCCTGGCTCTAGGCCGCCTGGCTCTGGACCGCCTGGTTTTGGGCCTCCAGGCTCTGGACCACCACCAGGTTGGGAACCTGGTGATGGGCCTAACTGGGAGGACTTCTGGGACAACATTCCCGGAACCACAACAACGACAACGACGAGCAGGTCCAGTGCCCCAGCAACTACCACAACTACCACAAGTTCCCAACCGACAAATACGACACCACCACCAGATGAGGACGAGGCGGAGGAAGATCCAGATCGAAGCCCGAACCCCCAGCCGCAGCCGCAGCCGCAGCCCGAGCCCGAACCTGAGCCCGAACCTCAACCCGTTCGGGGGGGTCAGGATAGGGAAGAGGAGGAAGCGGAGGAACCGCCGCAGACGACCACCAACCAAAATCCAGACCCGACAGCGGGGAATCCCCATCCATCACAAGACCAACAAGACGAAGTGGACAACACGCCTCCCAGTGTTACAACCCAGACCACACCCGCGACACAAATTAATCCTGCGCCAGCACCCACCGAGACACCGACGACTCCCATCTTTAACCCAGTGACATCCGAGCAACCCTGGAGATCTGGCTCAACCGCGACGACTTTTGCGACGCATACGTCTTCCAATACCGCAGACTTACTTCCCGCAGTACCCACTGCGGGCGCCAGCGATGCCGAAGGACAAGAACAAAACAACTCTCTCGGAACAGGCCCAATCGTTGGCATCGTCTTTGGCGTGATACGTAAGACACCCAACATGACCCATCCAGTCCCTTCTTCTCCAACTTGCACTCTCTCCAGCATATGTGACGCACACTAACCTTCCTCTCCAGTGGGCATCGTATTCCTATGTCTCGCCATTTTCTCCCTCGTGCGCCGCAGACGCCGCAAGCAACCCGCCCCTCACGAGCACGCCAGCACCGTCCCTCCAACCCAACAGCCCCGATCCAACGCCGAAGCCCCTCCCCTCGCATGGACCCACGTCCCCGCCGACAACGAGTCGGAAAAGGACGGCGTAGTCCAAATTTTCCGCTGGCCATCCCTACCCTCCGGCCGCTCAGGCTACCGACGAGCCAGCGACGAGGAAAGCGCCTCCCTCGTCTCCACCGTAGACCGGCCACCGCACGTGGCCATGGCAGCACGCACCCACGGCCACAAGAAGAGCTGGTCGCGAAGCACGATTTCCACGCTCATCCGCCCCTCGACGCGGGGGACCCTGGCGCGGAAGGAGGCAGAAGCAGCAGCAGCAGCAGGGGCCACCACGACATTCACTTCGGAAGCCGAGAAGCGACGCATGAGCGACATGGTGCGGAAACACTTGACGGCCGCCCTGGCGACGAACCCGGCCGAGGAAGCGGGGCGGAATAACATCTCGATCAGCAGCAATGGACGGGAGGAAGCAGAACGAAACGGCGGCGGGGCGTACCTGCATCCCGGACCATTAAGGGGCAGGAGAAACAGCGCGGCGACGATGTCGAGCGTGGGGAGCTCGGGCGGCGGGAGCTTCGTGAGCAGCGGCGTGCTTTCGCATACGTTGGGGTCTTTCCCGACGCCGCCCAGTGGGGGGAATTCGGGTGCTTCGACGCCTGATTCGGTCAAGATTCCTTCGCCTCTTGCGTCGCAGACCTATGTCGAGAGACTGGAAACCCTGCCGGCTAAGACTTATAAGCCGTATAGGCCGGGGTTGACGGGATCGAGTTGAACGCGGGGATTTACGTGCGCGACTGTCGTTCATTCACCTTTTCTTCTTTTTTCTTTCTTTTACTTGTACCCTTTTCCGACCCCTTTTTAGCCATACGGCCACGAATGTCTCTTTGTATCAATAATGTACCTATATGAAGCACCAAACAGTATCATGAGTGTATGCTCCAGCTCGAATGCTCGACTACATGGCTATTTATGAGCCTGTCTCTAAACATTTATATATTTCTTTCCTTCTTTCTTTTGCTCTTCTCGTTCCTTTTCCCTTTTCCCGTGGGACCTCGCAAAGACTAAGTAAACTCTTTCCCGTCACCGTACCACTCATAGAAGGAGATGCGTGCATCAGAAAAGAAACTCCCTGGGTTACTCCGGAGGGGTAATAAGGGGCCACTTCAAGCAGTCATCTTACCTAATCGGCGTGGGGCTGAAAGGCTCACTCAAGAGTCAACTGACACTATCAGACTGTCCGTCTATCATACTCGATGACTGTCACCCCATGTACTAAGTATTGACAGATGGCCTCTTCGGAGCGATAATTCTCGGACTCCTAATATCAAAAGCTTTATGTTCGTTAGATGGGAATAGCTTCGTTTTTGACTAGATTGGGTAATGATCATATGATATAGGAAGCTCAGTAAAGCTTGCCAGCACGTACATTCGTAGCTTTCGAGTATCTACGTTAGGTAAGATACTCACTACACACGCGCAGCATAGGTGATATACGTGACAAGGTAGTGATGACATTACGACATCACGTTAGCTCCGTCCCTAGAAAAGTACCCCGTACTTCCCCGCGCCAAGAATAAAACCCCCGGACCCTCCGACGTATTCGGCCAAGATGATGTATACGACTCGGCGACTTCCTTTCATCTGCCGAGTAAGTAAAACCAACCCTCTTCAACCTCATCTCCATCTCCAAATTTCCTGTACTCTAACATTGATCACTCCTCCCAGTCCCTACCTGTACTCCACGCTGACACATCCATCGCAGTCACCCACAATGGCGTCTCCAAGTCCCCCCACTCCCCCCAGCGCCAAGCGGGTCAAAACCAACAAGGACACCCCCTACAACCTCATCTACTGGCCCGGCATACCCGGCCGCGGCGAACCCATCCGCCTGGTCCTCGAAGAAGCCGGCGCAACCTACACCGACACCGCGCAGATGGAGAACGGCATGTTCACCGTGACCGCCCACATCGCCGACGACAACACAGGCGACCCGTCCAACCCCCCTGCTCTGGCCCCGCCCATCCTGAAGCACGGCGGCCTCGTCATCTCCCAGCTGTCCAACATCCTGCTCTACCTCGGCCAGCGGCTGCACCTGGCGCCGCGGTTCGGCGACGGGGCGGGGGACGGCGCCTACATCGTCAACCAGCTCGCCTTGACGGCGCTGGACGGGCTCAGCGACGAGACGCACGACACGCACCATCCCATCTCTGTGGGGTTGACGTACGAGGAGCAGAGTGAGGAGTCGCTCCGGTGCGCGAAGGAGTATGTCGCGAACCGGTTGCCCAAGTTTATGGGGTACTTTGAGCGCGTGCTCAAGGGGGAGGCGAGCGGCGAGAGGCCTTGGCTTTATAATGGGACGTTTTCGTATGCCGATATTGTGTTGTTCCAGGTGCGGACCCTTTTTTTTTTTTCTTTTTTTCTTTTTTTTCTGGTTTGCCCAGACATTTGAATCTTGAGACTGACTTCTCCAATCACGTGTTGCAGTGCCTCGACGGTGTCAAGTACGCGTTCCCGAGGGCCGTTGGACAACTTAAAAAGACCGGAGACTACGAGAGGGTCTTCGAGTTATACGATGCTGTCAAGCAAAGGCCTCGCATTAAGGCTTATCTGGAGAGTCACAGACGGCAGAAGTACTCCATGGGTATTTACCGCCACTACCCCGAATTGGATGACGCTGGATAAGGGGTAAGGGTGCGCAACCGTGGCCCGACCGGCAAAGGAGTAGAAATCAAAAGACGGAGCCGTTGAGTGGATTTTATCAAGACAAAAAGGCGCCGATACCTGGTGTGAAGTAAGCAACGGTTTCATTATTCTCCCCGCAGCCAATATTTTAAGTCCATGTGTCTTGCCAGAAGACGAAAGAATGACAATGAGGGCTTTGCCTGAATTCTGCTCGTCTTTCCAAATCCCAGCCGGTGAACTTCGGCCCATATATTTGCGCATATCCAGGGAGCATGATGGCTTTCTTACGGGCGCTCGTACTGATATTGTCCAGACTAAAGTCGCGGATGAATGATTCCAGGGCCATGGTGCCGCCAATGACGGCCGTGTCGTAGCCCACTGTAAGAAGGATGCCAATGGCCAGATGTCAACCTTTCTGACCAAGCCGGGAAGACTCTTGGCTCGGGTCGGCTTACTTGCGACAACAGAGCACGACACAACCAGCGCGATGATATGGATCCTCCAGTTGCGCACCTCGGGGGGGTCGAGTGTCCCCGAGGCATGAGTGCTCCACATCATCTTGAGATTGTCGGCTTTCTTTCTTTCTTTTTTTTTTTTATCTTGTATCTTGTATCTTGTTTTGATGCGGTCTTGAGGACCTGGTCAACCAGTCCGGGAGAAAAGAGTGACGAATGCGATGTCCGGGACTCCGGGCTTCGGCTCAGGCCCGTCGGTTATGCGCGCAACCAAAAAGGCGAACTTTAGCGTGTGAACCTCACATCGGAGAGCACAGATCAGGAGTAATGGGCCGGGTGAAGGGGGGGGGGGAGTACAACTCCCTTCTCATTTTATGTAAGAGAACGGTGCACGCGCCGCGCGGGAGGCGAGGCCTCGGATGGTGGCGGTGTGGCGGACGCCCCTGAATGTTATATCAAGAGTCGATCAGCCACATCGTGGGGGTCATGGACCAAATAACCTTCTTATCGGTTTCTCGCTAGTTCCATCAACTCCATACGTTTGGTGTCTCAATTCTCCGTTTTCCTACCCCGCGTATCCTCTTGTAGTTCGCACGTGTATGCTATAGGCTATGTGATCGGGCTACAACGGAGCTCGACAGTGAAAGCCTTTGGGGGAGCGATGTGTGGGGTTCTGCGGCGACTTTGCAAACGTCTTGGATAGCCTAGTGGGTGTAGTCTGTAGAGTCGTAGACAGTAGGAGTTTGGTGAAAAATGCGTCCATAGGGTAGAAGTATCGAATCTATCGATGGACGGAGCCAAGTTTTCAGGTAATACTTCATGCCCACGGTGTCGCCGAAAATCACCGCCGTTCGCCGTTCGGCGTACGGTGTACCTCGTAATGTATCCCCATACGGGCATATACTCCGTAGCTGGGCTGCAAAGTTCGGGAAGTTTCCGAGAAGGGTGGCCGCTTTTGGGCTCCAAGTCACCTGGCCTAAAAACAAGCCTTCGGCGTTTCTTAGCACTGTTGACTCCCGCCGGCCCCCGCCCCCGCCCCCGGTCCCGCACCCCGATACGTCTCCTGCCACGCAACGTTGTTACGTTGCCTGGGTCCCGGGGGGTTCTTTTTTTCTTTTTCGTTGCTTGCGTGAGCACGGAGCACGGCGTAGGGTAAGACTGTAAGAGGACGACAGTCAGATAGTATGCGGTGCATATATGCAGTGCCGTCTGATGGTATAGAGTTCGGCGCGCTGCACTGAGTAGGACGAAGCAAGCCGTCTCGCTGCTCTCGCACTCTCGGCCGTGTCGTACTCGTCACCTGACTCATCTCCGCCGAATTTACCATTCCTTGCTCCTCACATATTCAGCCGGCTTGACACGATTCCCCCACTTGAAACATAACCATTCCCTCGTGGGGGGAAGGTTCACCGTTTCTTAATTTGATTCGTGGGCGGCATAATCTTCGCTTAGGCATAGCGGCGTAGTCGTACATAGAGTCGAAAAGGCCGTGGCAGCAGTATAAAATGGTTCGTGCAAGTTGGTATAAGAAACAGAGGGTATACGAATCTTTGAAGAAAAGATCGGAAAAGTCAACATAGGGCGGCCCATATGAAGGACTGAAGTTCTGAACAGCCAATTTGTGTTAAGGTTTCGATATGTTGGTGACGGAGGAGAAGAACCAAGGTACGATGAGCGTTAGCTTACCTAATAAATAACGAAACGGGACGCCAAGCTCGGATCCCGGCACTCTGTACTCGTGACATGCTTACGTGATTCTTATCTCTGCTACTTTTCGTTTTTCCCTTCCTTTTTTTCCCTCTTTCTTTTCTCCTCCCCCAAAATCCCTCAAGCGTTGCCCCAAGACCGCTAGCATCACCACAAACCCTTCGCCACCCCCTGCCAAGACTAAAAGCGTCCTAGGTTGGCCCCTGACCAAGGCTGTGTTGACCACTTTTCGAAACCTTATTACAGCCTCGGCGCTTAAAGCGTGTTCCTGGCATCGAATTTCAACGATGGATTCTGGTGGTTATTAGCTTATTCCTCACAGAGGAGCACAAGCTGTCATGGCACGACTCTGCGGGGTATTGGATTTGATGGTCCAAGGAGAGACTGGGACCAAAGACGGCCCAAGAATCCCCTTCTTCTTCGACACCTGCCCGGGAGTTGAAGCGACGATCAAAGCTTGTGCCAAAACCGCGAGGTCCAGAAACCACCGATGCTAGAGCAACAGACCAGGGGGACGGGACGCCATGCACGGGAAAGTTTTTTTTTTTTTCGACTTCATCTGGCCGATTTGGACTTTGAAGTATCGTCAGAGAGGGAAGATCTCCCGGCTTCCGTGGGGAGGATCCCAGGGTCCTTTTCGATAACGATGTGCCGACATGGATGAGATCATGAGCGTGACTGCAAATCTTCATTCAACGTCGACATATCGTCCAGAGCAAGGTCCAGCGCAAGAAGCACCACGCGGCACATGCGCCCATCCTCATCGAGTCGGGGGCAGGCCGAGAAAAAGGCCGACGCCGCCACCCAAGAATGTTGTGCTCCCAGACTCGACTCCCCCCGCATGGCCAATCTCCCTTATGAACAACTCTGCTGGCAGCATGGTGCATGAAGCCAGAAGTAGATGACGAGGACGAGTGACCGGGCAGTCGGACAGGAAAGCACCATGATGCGAGAAATGCAACGTGGGCGACCAAAACGTGCGCGTCTCATGGGCCCCATGAGTCCTATGAATGCTCGAGTCCCAACGACCAGCGTGTAAAATGTCGACCGTTTTTCGCATGCAGCACCACCACCGCCAACACATCTCGTAAATATTCCCTATCAACATCGGATATTGCCTTTTGCCACGAGGGGGGGCCATGCGTTCTTTGTTGGCCGTTGGCTGCTGAGCGCATACGATACCACGCATCTCCGCAGCCGGTCCAACCTAAGCAACTTGGGAGCTCAGTATTGGTGCATCGGACAAAGGTGAAACAGAATCCTCTGGGCCGGGACCCTTGGCGGAACCTAAGCCACCTTGCCAAGACCGCTATAAACTTTGCAGGTCAGAAGAAACGTCTATCCCCCCAACTCTCCCCAAATAAAAATAGTTTTTTTTTGGTGCAGTGCACCCTTTTCTGCGTATCATCTGCAATGGAACGAAAAACCTGGGTTCGTTTTCATATACGCAAATCATGGTCGGCACGACTACGAGGTGCACAATGCGATGCCGTGCACATCAGGAGACCATCTAGTTACTGAGCACGAGGAAGAGCAGAGGAGAGAGAAGAGAAGAGTTCGCAATGCTCGACGTGACGTGCCACGTCGTAAACGCTCATCTCTATCGTCTGGTGGCAGCGCTCAGGTTTGGCGTCAACAGAGAATTATATTCGCAGTGGAAACCCAACCAGACCGTTTTCCTTTTTTGATAGTACGGTGCAGAACCCCAAAACCCCTGACCTGATGTTCTGGACTCCCACGTTTCTTGGCCCCAGGGGCCGTCTTTGACCGTTTGCGGAATCCGATTCGCCGGGTCATGGTTTCATTGTCATTTGTCCCGGGAATGATCGCTCGTTTAGGAAGGGTGCGATGGGGACGGGGATATCCACATACCGATTTGGAGAGGCTAGCCAAGGTTCGATGCCACTTGTCGTTGGCCCCTGAAGCAATATGTAAGGACGAAAAAAGAAGAAAAAGAATTAAAGAAAAAGAAAAGTACGGATGAATCCAAGCGTGCCCGATATGTCGTCGGCTCTCTGGCCCCCCATCCCTGTCCGTCCCCTCTCATCTCAACTCCTCTCAACTCGTCCCGTTTGCATCTCCACGCCCCGTGCCGGGATCACCTGAAATGGCCGACTACGAACAGTACACAGGACCAGGGTGGATCGCCCGTCAGGTTGCCTCGCTCGTCTTGGCAGGTAGGAGCCGACATATGGGCCGCCAAGGTTCAAGTGTCCAGGACATTAAGCTAGGTTCATATTTATATATATATATATATATATATATATCCCCTTCCTCTACGCCAAGTTCTCTCTTTGAGATCCCGTCTCTTTTTTTGGATTCTACCCTTCTCTCCCTGCGTTTCTTGCGTCCTCCTCTTCTCTCTTTGTCCTAGCAGACCTAAGTCATTCCTTTCTACAGAGTCGTTCCTTTCAACAAAATATCTTTATCCTTTATCCTCTTTTTTCTTTCTTTTTCTTGCACCTATATCCGCGCGCCTGCTCGCTGCGTCACATTCCTTCTTCTACGTCCAGGCCGACGATCTTCTCCCCTGTCCGTGACACTTTGATCCCAAGCTCAACAGCTCAGCCTCACTCAACATACCCTGCGCTTTGTCGTCAACTGCAAACCCTTAGACCTCTGACAACCAAAACCCGCACTCTACCTCTGCCACATCCAGTGCCCATCTCCCCCTTCTCACCGTCCTCCGAAAAACCATCGTCACCATGCATCTCAAGCAAATCATCTCCACGGCAGCCCTCCTGCTCCCCACGCTCAGCCACGCCTGGCAAGCCCCCAGCTACAGCGGCTTCCGGCGCCTCTTCGCCGAGGAATTCCACGGCCCCGCCGGCTCGGGCGTCGACACGGACGTATGGCACTACATCACCGACCTCAGCGTCAACAACGAGCTCCAGAAATACACCAAGTCGAACCGCAACCTGCAGATCTCCGGCGGCGGCACCGTGCAGATCGTGCCGCGCCGCGAACCCGACGGCAAGTGGACCTCGGGCCGCATCGAGTCCCAGTACAGCTTCACCCCCCGCGCCGGCCGCCAGACCGTCGCCGAGGGGTACGTGCGCTTCGGCGACGGCGACCCCTCCCGCAAGCAGGGGCTCTGGCCGGCTTTCTGGCTCCTGGGCGAGGCGGTCCGCCACGGCATCGACTGGCCCATGGCCGGCGAGATCGATATCCTCGAGACGGTCAATGGGATCCTGTCCGCCCATGGTACCGTCCACTGCGATGTCACGGGAGGGGCGTGCAACACGCCTTTCGGCCTGGGCGGGACCGTCGCCCTGGCTGACCAGAGCTGGCACCGCTGGCGCGTCGTTTTTGACCGGACTTCCGATGACTGGCGCTCCGAGACCATCACTTGGTTCAAGGACGACCAGCAGTTTCATCAGATCAGTGGCGAGCGTGTTGGTAGTGAGAGGGTCTGGGCTACGCTGGGCCGGTCTCCTTACTACTTTATCATGAATGTTGCTGTTGGTGGCGATTGGGTATGTCCTCTCTCCATCCCCTCCCCCTATCCTCTTGCCTGTGTCCTGTGTCTTGGTACTATTCGTAGGACGCTGAAGCTGACCGTGTCAAACAGCCTGGGTACCCTGCCGAAGACACACTCGACGGCTTCGACAGCATGATGGAAGTCGCCTATGTTGCCGTGTACGAGTCGGAGTAAAGTCGGGGGGAAAGTTTGCCGACGTTGTGGGAAAGCCAGCTGGGTTGATATATGAGACACGTCACGACCATTTCTTTTACCTTCGCCGCGCCGGTTGCGTTCTACTTTTCTTGATACCACGATATGACTTTGCGGTCTTCTCAACTCTGTACATACTTCTATTCTAACCTTTTGAACAGGGGCGAGCAATAAGCCTCCTAGAATCTCAATTCTCTTTCCAAGTCGTCCGTCTCGTATGGCTTTCTATACATGATGTTATATCTCCCTGTCTGTGTAGGGAAAGGATCGCATTGGAGTGGTTATAAGCGGCTGCTTCGTCGGTAATTTCATGGCCAAACGCTTCTAAACTTCTTGTCTTGTCGACATGACATTCTACTCATAAAAGACCAAGCACCGAACCTCAATGCTCTGTCTCCCCTTCGTGCCCGGCGGTGTCGCAGGGTCCGCAAAGGCGGTATGGGGCGCACAATTAGCTCGGCCCTCCACACCCCCCGGGAACCCATGGCCCCTGGAATCAAAACACTTGAGAAACAGGACCTCGTCAGGCGTCATATCCTTCACGTAGAAGAACTCGTGATCGTCGCTAGGCGCAACCGAATACGTCTCCCCGCGAACCTCGTACCCCTCCGTCGAATCAATACTCGTCTGGTCCGGGAGCTTCTCCTTCCCGCGGTCATCCCCGTCATACCCTTCCCGGTAGACAGGGTACAGCAGATCCACCGCAACCAGGTCCTCGGGTCTGGTAGACCGCCAATCAATGAGCGCCAGCGGCGAATCCGTCGCCGGGTACCCGATGGGCCGCCAGACGTTGACGATCTGGTACCGTCCCCTCAGGAGCTCGTCCGCCTCGGCCGGGTCGGCGACGTGGCGGCGCACACGGGCCTCGGCGGCGCCGGGGGTCTGGTCGACGTGCACCTGCTGGACCGGCTGGCGGGGGCTCGACGCGATTCGGCGGCGGATGGTGTGGTCGAAGATGACGACCTTCTTAACGCCCGGGAGCTTTGCGCGGACGAGGGCCTCGACTTCGGCGTAGTAGCCGTTACGCACGGCGCTGTCGTCCGTGAAGTCCTTCTCGTTGCCCGGGGAGGTGAAGAGGGCGAAGCCGGAGACGTCGGTGCCAAAGGACGATGCGGGGAAATCTCGGAGATTGGCGACGGGGCGTTGGCGCGCGGTCTGCTTGGAGGAGCTCTTGTCTACGTCGACTTTGCTCCATGGTTTCACGAAGGTGTCGCCGGACCGGGTTATGGTTGTGGGGTCTATGTAGTTGAACACGCCGGTCGTCATGGTGGGCGTCGAGGAGTCGGAGACTCGGAGTGCTGATGGCGGAGGGGGGCCGGCGTTGAGGAGGACAGTGAGGGGGCACTGGGGGGGGGATAATGGTGCCAATATCGATATAGGTGAGGGTAGTTGTTAGTAATCGTGTCGGCATGCGGCGCATAGGCGTTGGAACCCTGGCAGTTGATATCACCGACTTGTCTGCATCTGCATATCGACCTCCGACGGAGGAAGATCAAATACTTTTACGAGGCATTAAATATTAAATATCACGGAAAATATTCCGACGTCATTTTTGGACGGGATAACGCTTTTCAAGATTACTCATGTCTCATTAGTAATCTATGACTGGCCGTTGGGAAATCGTACGATACTCGGTTCCGCACCTGTGGCACTGCATCCCGCCGAGTCCAATGTACTACCGTATTGGTCGCGGACCTAATAATAGACGTGGGAATTTCCACAAGACGCGCTGAGCTCTTAAACTCGAATCGACCTAAGCCCAAGCCTTCGCTCCATCATTTCATCCCATAAACCTTCCGAAGTCGTCTCAAGTCACCCTCACTGTCAGAATCCGTGCTGCTATGCCCACCATAACCCCGTGCCGCCTTCTTCGCTTCCTTTCTCGCTTTCTTCGCCGCCTTCTTCCCCCGCTTCCTAACGATCTTGTTCTCCAGGAACTCGGCCTTTTCCCGGTCCTTGCCCGATAATCCGGCCATCAACTGGGCCCGGTCTCCGCCCACTGCGGAAGAAGCCGAACCCGCGGCGTGGTAGCCTTGGCCCGGCTGAGACCCGTATCCTTGCGGCGGGTATCCTTGCGGCGGGAATCCTTGCGGCGGGTATCCCTGCGGAGGGTATCCCTGCTGCGGATGGTCCTGGGGCGGATAACCCCCGAATTGCTGCTGGGCAGGATGAGGTCCCGGCGGATACTGGGCCTTTTCGGAGGTTGGGCCCGGTGCGGGGTCGAAGCCAGCTGCATAGCCCTGGGGAGGATGCAAACCTGCCTGCGTATAGGGTAGTTCGGCGGGCTGGCCATAGTTCTGCCGTCGGCCAAGATGGTCTTTGTGTTAGCCATCACGATTCCGCGGTGACGGGGCGGGTGAGGGGGGGATCTATGGCAAGCTTACCTGAGGAGGATACCCCTGCGGCGCCGGAGGCTGCCCGTAGGGAGCAGCCTGATCTTGCTGACCGTAACCAAACCCAGAGTCGTAGTTTGCAGGTGGCTTCTGGTCGCCAGTTCCGTAGTAATTCTGTGAGGCCATTGATTCGACTTTTTGCTGGACCTTTTCCAGTAGCTTTGTGACCATGTTCTGCTGCTCGGGTCGTCTCGTCCGGTCGTCAGTAGACTTCAAGATGATAGTCAAGATGATAGCCAAGATGTATGCAAATGTGAAGCTCCGAGGAAGAGAAGAGGCACAAGAAATGGAAAGATTCTTAATTATCTGAGGGAGCTTTTGTCTGTTCATTAATGAATAAACAAACGGCGTCATGGTCCCCAACTCCCCGGGTTTGGACGGACCAGGATCCCGTCAGCAGCTCAGCGCCAACTCCCACAGCCCATCCTATCACAGCCCCCAGGAACCCCGCAATCGCACCGCACGAAACTCCCCCTTGGGCCCTTGATGGATGGCGTTGACATTCATGTCGCCAACAGTAATCACAAAAGCTATAAATAAGACTGCGCCACTCGTCCATTTCATGCATGTTGCCGATGGTCCGACAGCTTTTCGCCCCCAATCTGATGGTTGGTTGGTTCTCCTGACAACCTTTCGTTGTTGGTTGGTCCGGATTCCGCATCATTGGAATTTGGAGGCCCAACTGCATATTATATAGCTATCTCCAGCCTGTGGAGCTGTTAAATGCGACCTGCGAGAATGTCGATGCAAAGACTGCGACTCTGAGAGGGGTATCTCCTGGGGGTCGCCAGGGCCCAGAATCTCTCCGCGCATCATACATGTAAAGTCGGGAGAAATACCATTGAGGTGTCTGTTTCCCCGTGAGGCAGTCGTTCATTCGCTTAGGAAACTTGATATGTGATCAGATATCATAAACCGTACGGATGGCGTTTCTTCTGGCATGCACCATTAGGGAGCATAAACGAGTGCGACCGCCATGCCATGGACGGTCCACTCTGTAGAATGGGTGCGGAGTGTCCGGAGTTGATCGGGTATGCATTTGCAAAGAAGTAGAAGTCAGCGCCCAGGCAGTGCGTCGCAAGCTCCCAACATGAAGGAACAAATCAGAGTGGCCCGAGGTAGGCTATCTAATGGGGGAGTTTGTGATGGCCATACTGCGACGAGACTCTTGCCGGATTTTGACGAAGAAGATATAAGGCGTATTGCCTCGGGGCACGTTGCCCGCTGCACGACGGTTTGGGATTCGGCTTTGAAAGAGTCAAGTCTCGTGAGATTAATGCATATATGAGGTTGGCCATGTCGTTTTATGGCCTCATCGACTCATGCCTGGAAGCGTCTTCGAAGTTTGGATCGTGATATGCCGTCGAATTTCTGCTTGTCATCTTTGAAGACCGAATCAAGTGTGAGCCACTCGAATGAAGGGATTTAACATCAAGTGCATGAGGATCGCGTTGGTATAAGACCTGCAGCACATAAAGCGCTGGTCTATGACCCTACGAATCTTACGTTGAACCTAATAAGGCTAAGTCAAGGTCATGTTAGTTCAAATAATACTAAGTATATTGCCTTATAGAGATGCTTTATATCGTGGGTTGGCCTTATACGTTGTTAACTTCCTACCAGACGGGACAGAGAAGGAACCTGAAAATGACGGGATACCGAGTTACAATGAGGTACTTTCGTGTACAATGCAAGAAGGTCCGTACCTTATGTTAAGGTAGGACAGTCGTTCCAGAATGTCCCATGCTTCCTTCTTCTCACGATGTCCAAAAAGGGACATCGTCACACGCCCTTTGACTCGGCAGTTGCAGACGCAGTGGTCACCGAACCAATTCCGCTTATCAAATGGCCTAAACCCCCGATTTGGCCATTTCTGTGACGTCCTAGTTCCTATCTCGACTGCATTATCACAATCCCCAAAGGGGGGTTCGAGTGCCCAAGAAATTCCGGGAGGCTTCCACACACCCCTCGCCCCTCATCCCTTCTCGCGTGACGCAACTAGTATTCACGAACTTCACCTGGAAAGCCTAATTTTGAGATCAAAATTGGAAAGCCCAGTTAGTAAAACTACGCCGGGGCGCATAGCAGAACCAACAAAAGATATCACGATGACCGGGTGAGTGGGCATGCGGTCCCTCAAATGGATAAAATGACGTATTGCGGGCACGAACATGACGGGAGTGTTGCGAATGAGGATGTGGGGCTCCCTTTATCGCCACCGCTTATCGGCTCGCCTTACCAAATAACGGGGCCGAATAAAATCGGCCGAGCGGTGAGGAGGGTGGGTGAGTGCACGCGACTTTCGGAAAAGGCCGGGGTCTGTCGGACAGGCCGTAAGATACGGTTACGTAACGGGCACGGATTTAACCGAAGGATTATAATCTCGGTTATCCGGGTGGACACCTGCAGAATCTTCACTATATAAACTACGGTGGCAGGAGTTCCCTAACGGTCCAAAATTATTAGTATAGTTATATATATAGATCTACAGATTTATAAGCTAAAAAATTAAATTAACAGATTAACTGCCCTATTATTATTCTTCGACGTTATTATTACGGTTACGCTATATCTGATAATTAAGAGTCTTATATACTATCGATAATCTATCCTTTTACCTATTAAACTCCCGATTAAGAGCTATCTAAGCCGAGCCGGTGTAGCGAACCTTTTACCGAATCTTTTACGACTCGAAGAAGCTAATCGACTATTAAGATTACCTTTCTATAAGATCTCTAGGTTAATACTATATAAAAATTATATCTAAAGCTACTAGACCTTCTGGAAACGAAGTAACGACGCGACGGCTATAGCCTATAGCGTCCAGAACTAATTCACTAATCTTAAAGATAATCTCCTTTTCCTTAAACTAGCCTTAGAGCCTTACCCTAATTTTAATAACCTTATAACCCTTAATCGAACCACCGCGCCGCCTACCGCGCTAGATCTAACGGTTACCGGAACGGCCGCGTATAATATTAATTATAATATTCTTAACCTCTTTAACGGTTTACCTCCTTATTATAGCGGATCTAGCCACCGCCGGAATAACGACCTAAACGGTTATTTACCTCCGTGGCAGATCTAACGGTTACCGGAACGACTACCTATAACGTGAAATAACCGAAGAAGATCCTATAAAAGCTTTGAAGAGCACTATACATGTGCTAAAGATAAGTCACGACCTTAGAAGAAGACTAGTATATATTCCCTGAATAAGCTACTCTAGAGTGCACTTAAGGAATCCTCTTAAGTCCGTAGGTCGAACGGGTACTTATTTAGACCTAAAACTAATAACCGTAAGACTACTTTAGAACTACGTAGTCGCCGGTAGCACGGTATTACTAATCCACTACCCTTTATAAGTAGAGGGATCTACCCTATAAGCTAAGTTATCTCCACGATTAAACTGTTATATATCTATATACTTTTAACGATACTAACCACTCTACGACTACGGCCGTAGAACGGTTAGATATCCTCTTAACCGTATATACGGCTCCTGCCTACGCCGGCGAGAGCTGATACGCACACGCGCACCATAGTACGCCGCGGAACACCGGAACTACGGCGGTACTTAAGGTACCACCACGGAACCTGGTATTCCACGGCGGTACCTAAGGTACTACCACGGAACCCGGTATACCCCGGCGGTACTTAAGGTACTACTGAACCGGGTATACTATAGCGGTACCCTCCCGGAATAATCCTATATATAGATACCGAGGAATCTACGGGGTTTACCCGTAAATATATTACTTCGGGCACCCCCTTATTTATCTTAGTTTAGAGAAGATATCTGATTTTACCACTATTTACGGCACCCTAAGGTCACCCTTTAGAAATCCTGGCTCTTAGGTTCCATAGTACTAGCTAGCCAGGGGATATACCGGTTAGGTATATTAAATAGTAGTAACTAAGTTTCACGCGAGGTTTGCGTACCGCCGTCTTACGAAAGCTGCGCGACGCCGTCGCGTCCGCCGTAATTACTAAGTAGAATAGCTTAACCGCTTATCGCTAGACGAAGACGCCTCCCCTTTAATAGGTCTAGGCGTAGAGTATATAAGGGAACCACCGTCCTTAAGTCGTATACCGTTAAACGCTATCTATACCGCCTTTATAATGATTATTAGCCGTGGAACCCTAAAGCTCCGAACTATAACCGACGCTAACCCCGCCGATAATATTCCCCGCCTTTAGGACCTTAAAGAAACGAGGAATATCGTTAAGATAGTTAACGACTATCCCGATCTTGCCGAGGAATCCCTTTCGCCCGAGGTTCTCGCCCTGCTTCGCGTTACTAAGTAAGCCTATAATCTCCCTAGCCTGCCTAGCGCTAGCGGCGCCTTAACCTTAAGAGGAAGAACTACGGTCTCGAAATCCACTAAGGAACCTATTATTACGACTAGCGGGCCTAATATGCAGGACGGATGCCCTGGTACGCAACACCGCACCAAGACATAACCAGAGAATAGCTAACGAAGGGTCACGTGCCGGGTCACGTGATACGAGGACATAAGAAGGATACACTAGTATATAAGTAGCTTACTAGGAGGGCTAGTAAGTAACGAGCTATATATACTAGAGTATCCTAGGTCTTACTTCTACTATAGAATAAGATAGTATTTAATCTAAGTCTTTATTAGAAACCTCCTTAAGTATTATAGTGAAGAGGCAGACTTACCTTACGACCGCCTACGAGAAATTACGAGAGACTTACGCTCAGCTTATAACCTCCTCTTACCTTGTGAACACAAACTCACGATAACCCTAACTAAGGATCCCAGACTTAGTGTCCAGGAACCCAGGTCATAACATTTTAAATACTCCGTTTAGTAAGTAGACCGTATAAACTAAGCGTTAACCTATCTAGTATAATAGCACCTTAAACGCCTACCGGATCGACTACTACAGGACCGGCTTCGAATAATTAAGAGCTAACTAAGTCTATAGCTAAGCTCCGAGAAGCAGTCACGTAACTTAGGAACGAAAATAACACTCTTCAGGAATAGCTTTAGGCTGGAGGAAGAGCCAGGACGTTTAAATTCCCTAAACCGGAACTATTCGATAGTACACGAGGATAACTTCGATAATTCTTAACGTAGGCCAGGGCCTATCTTCGTTATTATTTTGATACTCTGGTTAATAACGAAGATAAGGTTATCTGCACGGCCTTATACCTTTAAGGAAACGTAGCTAACTAGTTTAAACTATTCTATTAAGATTTCCTGGAAAACGATAACGTTAAGGACTAAGACTTAGATACTCAAAGAATCTTTAGTAATTACGACTAGTTCGAAAAGAAGCTAAAGGGGGTTTTTAGAGATCCTGATAAAGCGCGAGCCGCTATTTAATAGCTCGAAGGGCTTAGGTAGAGAGGATTAGCTTCTAACTATACGGCTAAATTCCAGCAGGTTATCTTACACCTTAACTAGGATAACGAACCCTTAATAGTAGCCTACTACTAAGGCCTTAAGGAAGAAGTTAAGGATAACCTGTATAAGATAAAGAGACCCGACGACTTCGCGACGTATATAGCTATAGCCGTGGAAATCGATAATAGAAACTAGGAAAGAAGGCAGGAACGGAAAAAGAATAACCCGCCTTTATATAAAGCTAATACTAGTCGAAGATAACCGAATCCTAGATAATAATAAGGAAACACTTCGTGGGGGCACTATAAAGGACTTATAGAAATTAATAATACTAACTATCGGAAAAACACTTAAAAGGATATTCGATAAAAGAAGGAAATAACCTGCTATAATTATAATAAGAAAGGACACTTCGCCCGAG